TTATTTTTGTCAAATTTATTCATTTTATACTATTAGTATTAAACCATAACTTTTCCTACCCTGTAGCGGCAAACCTTAGTACTCGTTAATCTATATTATATTAATAACGAATAAATTTGATATGTCTATGTAAATGTTTTAGTGAAAATCCAATTAGGCGAATGGAAATTAGCTTGTTGTACAGGTTTTCTGCGGTAGGGGCATCATTTATGACATGAAACTTTGTCGCCGCCTCCCCGTCTCACATAAAATATCAGTACCGTATAACATTTAAGACACAAAAAACAATAGATTCGTTTTATCTTTTATTTCATGCCAGTAATGTCAAGTTTCAAGTGTGCCTGTTGATACAAAAACTATTACGTTCTTCCCTCTGACCTGGAATATTGGTCGATGTCGCTGTAGTTGTAAATATCTTAAAGATGTGACCAGTTGTTATCGTCCTATGATAGTTTTCAAACTTTCAAACTACTTGACGTATATAAGTGCTGAGTATTTCTGTTTGTCACCCCCCCTTCAAGTCCCCTCCTCAAGTCTCCGGGGGGGGGGGGGGGGGGGTGAGAACCTGGCAACAGCACAGTGACGATACAACAACATTGGGTCCTCGCAATAGACTGACATTAATGATACACCACTAGTTGTCATTAAACATGGATATTCCAGCACTTTGCATATTCATGATTTGTCACACTACCATATGCACCTGTACCGTCTTTGAGTATATAAATGAGGGATATATTTCAACATGCACAGCGGTGTTTCATTAAGGTCGGGAACAATACAGGTAAGATTGAGATAACAGTTAACTGTGATTAAACAAATAATTTTAATTTATTTAGCATTTATGTTATATTTATGATTTTATTTTTTCGCCTACTAGAGATGTATGAAAGTGACTACACTTGAACTGCCTCATCATAATTTAGTTTAAGTCATAAATTATTCATGGTCATTAGTTATGTCATTCGCCTATTGGGTCTAATGATGATTGGAGTGTCCAATATAAATCGATCGCCGACCCCCTGAGCTGGTAAAAAACACGTAAATTAGTGGGCGGTTTAATGGGTAAATTAATGGGTAAATGGGTATGGTGTGTATATGGGTAATTTTAAGGGATGGTAAAAGAGTGATTTATATAGACACCGCGGCTCGGCCAGTTAGACGGGGAGAGATGAGAAACGAATAATTCATATTTCAGACTTAACATTTTATTCAGAAATTTTATTTTCTAAACTTAATTTTAGATTGTTTTTTCGTTTTGTTTTATAGTCTTATTGACTGAGGCAATCCAAAAGGCGTTTCTGAATTGCAGAAAACATACAATGAACTAGTTTGGAAAATACTGCTCTTGTAAATTACTGGAAAAATACTAACTTTCTTACAATATGAAATTCAATATTTATATTTTAGGAGATATTTTTATGTCAATAACTTTCGTGAGTGTTATGACTATAAGAGCTGTGAATAAGCTGCATAAATAACTCATAGTTCATATATTTTAACGTGTTTACTTTGTCTCGTGTGAAAATATTTACTTTTCTTTTAGGGCTGTATTTAAGATGTATGGTTATAATTGTATGTACTAAAATGTACTTAGTATATATGACAGCGCTTTGAAAATCAATAACAAAAGATGAGGAATGCGGCATAACGGGTTAAGAGATTTAATATAGAAAAAATTTAAAGGCAATCAAAAATTGTAGATCAAGAAGACGCCCTGAATATTACAACTTAAAACTTCCAATTGTAAATTATATTAATCTGTACACATTAAAAACAAGTTTTGTTATAACAGGGCTTGGTTTCAGAAATATAATTCTACATAATATACGTATATTTAAGCCTAACAAAGTGCATCTACAGTACTGTATATGAATGCAGAATGCCTTTGATAATTGCAGTGCCCTTGCTTCTAGTTGGCATACAGGTTTTTGTTCTTGCAGATAATAGTTTTATAGTAGTTCATACTTGAGTTTCTTCAGAACAATACAAACTACTACAAACTTAATTTTTGAGAACCAATTAATTAACCTGCTTTTATTTTTAAATTAAATTAGGACCTACTATAACAATTAGCATTTGATGTAAATTAATAGTTAGTATAACCTCTAAATATCCCCGCCACAGCAAACCTGCTGACTAAGCGAATTTCCATTTGCCTGATTGTATTTTCACTTAAATATTTCCTTAAACATGGCAGATTACGTCCATATATAAACAACATCAGGTTTAACGAGTACTTAGGTTTGCTGCTACAGGGAAGGTAATAAATTGTGTTTTTAGTAAAATGTAGCTTATATACAAAATAAATAGAGTTCTCAAGTTTGATAAAAATATATCTATCCATAAACAAGCAATCTAAAACAATTTACTTATACCCCAGAAGAATAACATGGGCATTTTAAATTTACAAGTTTTTGAATTTTATCCGTTGCCAATAACCGTACAAAACACTTCAAGATACTAAATTATTATTTTGTTTTTAAGCTCTACAAAATGGCTTAACGAAAACTTGGGAAATTATATAGGTACGGTATTTTGAGTTCAAAAGATAAGAAAACCCCATTTTTATCGCATAAAACACCCCATAAAACCCCGTTACTATGATACGATCATAACGGTTCGCAAACTCGTTTGAATAGACGCAGGTTTACACGTTTGTAGCCAATTTCATCAAAATCGGATGATTTTTTCTAGAGCTATCGTGCAAACGGAAACACACACATATAAATTTGAACGGATGGTGGTTTGGCCTCTGGGGTCATCAACGCAATAATCAGTCCTGGGTCCAGGTCTTACAATAATACGAGATTCCCTATATGAGAAATTCACTAAAAAGTACCGCGATGTAAGGCACATTACTAAGAAATCAGTAGATGATATGTTTCAAAAAACGTCATTGTGATAGGTAAGGGAAATAAGGGATTAAATTATTCACGTTTCTCCTTCAACGTTACCAAATTGACCTCCCCCACATGAGGAATCGCTGTGGCCATCCTACTATTTCTGCCCCACTGGAAAACATCAATTTAACCCCACCTAATTGGCGTGGATTCTTATCTATGAATTAAGAAAGTAAATTTAACGTTATAAATACTGTATTCACTACACCCCTTTTTGGAGCGATTGTCTCAATTTGTTCGGTCATGAAAAGAGTAATGTGGTCTTATGTGATCGTTGAGTAATGTGCACACTATGAAGTAATACGATAACAAAGCATTAAAATGGTTATTAGCTTTCCAAACATTCAACATCGATTAAAGCAGGATAAAAAATGCAATCATCGCGATAACTTACAGATTCATGTGTGATACCATACGACAGGGCTATAAGCAACATTAACATGCAACTCAACATATTGCAGTATTGTACACTAATGTAAAGATTGTGATCAAAACATAATACCCCCGCTACAACAAACCTGTTGACCAAGCATGTTTCAAACTGCATAATCAAATCTTTAGATGTATTTCCTATTTAAATATCATTAGGTTAGGTTTGCTGTTGCAGAGAAGTTATCAAAATGTTTTAGTGAAATGTTAATAACTTAGTATGAAATAAATCCATTTGTCAAAGGTTATCCAAATATTTCCACTTATTTTTGTAGCAAATAAAAAGCTACAATTAATATTTATACATTGTCGTATTGTAATAAAATATTTAAATTTATATTATACAATGTGAATAATATTTACAAACGAAATACATAAATTAAATTACCCTCCGCAAGGATAATAACGGATATTTTAATTGCTATATAAACACTAGTGTTTATAATATAGTCAATGATATGTTCTGTATTTAACGCTTTATCGTCGCTATAACCAAATTTCTTAGAACAATCATATACCATAGTACAAATTGCACATTAATGCATAAGTGGTTCATAAGTTGTTGCTATGGTCAGGTATGATTCAACTTGATGGCATGGGAATATTGCAATTCCCTTAAAATGGCGGCTTTTAGGATTTGTATGTGAAGTCATGACCGTTTAACCTTATACAGGGTGTTCAAAAAAGGTGGGGATATAATTTACGTATCGATTCGTTGGGTCAAAATAAAGAGAAAATCACTAATAAAGTTTTTTTTCAAAATCGCTTCGTTAACCAGATGACCGCCGTTTTGTATTTTTTTCGTAATCATTTTCATCTTTGCATTTTTTAAAGCGATCTTTATGAAACTTGATATGTATGTTAAGGTAGAAAATGCAGATGTTATAAACAAAAATCATTTAGATTCAACCAAAAATTTCAAAATGGCGGCCGTTTTAAATGTTAAAACTTAAATTACCCAAAAATGGCTGATTTTATGAAAAATGTCAAGGACGCAATTATTTAGAATTTTTAATACTCTATCAACTGACATCAAGTTTAAAAAGATCGAATATGAAATAGCTGAACTATTAAGATTTTTAGTTGTAAAATGTGGTAGAATAAGGCAGAAACTAGACAGGTTTGCCCCATTTTACAACTAAAGATCGTAATATTTTAGCTATTTCTTATTCGATTTTTTTAACTTGGTATCGCTTGATAGAAAATTAAAAATTCAAAGTAAAAGTATTTTTGAAAATTTTTTCTAAAATCAGCCATTTTGGAGTAATTTGAGTTTTAAAATTTAACACGGCCGCCATTTTGAAATTTTAGGTTGAATCAAGATGATTTTTTTCCTAACATTTGTCTCGTCTATCTTAACATACATACCAAGTTTCACAAAGATTGGTAGAGAAAAATCAAAGATATGCTTACCGGTATGTAAAAAAATACAAAATGGTGGATATCTGGTTAACGAAGGGATTTTTGAAAAAAAACTTTATACTAAATTTTCTCTTTATTTTGACACAAGGAATCACTACGTCAATTATGTCCCCTATTTTTTGAACACGCTGTATATTAAACACCGAGGTTATGTTACCTCTCGTTCATGATAAAATCGCTTAAAAATTAATCATATCTGGTGGAACCACGGGCACATGTGTGTTAAAATTTGGTTATGACTTACAGGCAATGAGAGAACCAGAGACCTCAAGGGGTCAGATGCGGCGGCTCTGGCACGACGAGTGTCCTTCAGTGACCTTGGGTCCACACCGGGGGAGACGGAGGGAGGCCAACTCATGAGTCCGGTATACCACCGAGGCTCGGCTCTCACACAGTCTCTGGGTAAGTCCTACCCTCGTATCCTACGATGATACACATTATCATCTATGTAGATAGTCTGTATGCGATATACGATATTTTGGTTCTGAAACAATTTGATTTTCGATACGATACTTACAATACCTTACTCCTGAGTTGGTCCTAACAGATTACGTGTTTCGGCGCTCCTATATTCCGGATGTCTTCCAATGGAGGGGCGAGCCAAAGTCCCGAGGTGCTTTACGCGGATATGTCGGGTTGCTCTGTACCCCAACTAGCATTATCACATAGCTTAAAGTCATTGGTGATTGGTGGGATTTGAACCTGCGTCCTCGGGGAGGGAGACCACCTACTCTTTACGACTAGACCCAGCTTGCTCCCCGCTTCGACGACGCGACGTCGTCGCCTAAAATATCATGATCAACGCAGGCTGACATTGCGGAGTAGGGAATTTTAATTTTCATTCATCGTTACAGTGATCCAAAAAACGACACCACCATAAAATTGTTGTCCAAGACCCAACATGGTTTTGGTTTTACTTATTGTATGTACAGTGGTACGAACAGTACAGGAGTACGAATTAAAGACTAACCGTGATATATAACTCAAGGAAAATGTGTGCGAGTTTATATTGTGCAAAACAACTTTGCCGTAATTTTGTATCTCTAAACTTTTACTTTGTAGTGATTGAAAATATAAGCCACGCCTTTTCAAACTACTAAGGGAATTTGACTGGACGGGGCTTCAATCATAAATAAACCCCTACTTGTAAATCCTGTATCCGTGATTCGCAACGGAACAAAGACGTTGACTAGAAATATGTGGTTCTGAGGGAAACGTAGTTATATACACATGCCTCACGATAATTGAAGTAAGAAATCTCCACTATACCATTGAGTTTTCACAAATTTATTTGGATTAATTTGATCAGCTACTAATGTCAGTGCTAATTTTACTTGGATAGAAATACTTTGACCGTGTTCATAATCCACTTTTTTTAAATTTCAGCCAAGTATTTTCAGTGGTGTTTGCGTCCAGAAGAAACAGATACAAGGTCAAACCTATAGACAACCCATAACATGAAATCGTATAAATCGATAAATTTATCCAATCGCACCGGTCTAAAACGTATTCGTATATGTATAGAGGGAGGAAAAAAGTGCCGGGACGGTTAAATATTTCAAAAAGTAATAAAGATAGAGCTTCAAAACATGGTGCACATTACCTGGGCATTTAAGTCATCTCAACACATTCAGTGATGCGCTACCTCCTCGGGGGGCGGTCTGCTAGGAGTCAGAAGAAAATCTTAAATAAAAGCATAGGTTGATATACACATAAAATTAAAGGTCTTTCATTGTAAAATACACTGCCACAAACCCGAACTCAATCGGACTACCGAGTCAAAAATGACAGCTATTCTAGATGCATTGAATTTGTATTGTTATACGCATAGCTTCTCAGGGTGCCTACATCCCCCTACAAGTCCGCTTGAAGTCAGAAGAAAATCATAAACGTATGCATAGGTCGATGTGAACATAGAATTAAAGGTGTTTATTAGTAGAATACAATGCCGCAAATTTGAGCTCAAAAGAACTACTGGTTAAAATAGGGCAGGCGCTCAAAGATTCAGAAGGGCAGATTTAATAAATCTTTAAACGGCTGCCATTTTTGACTCGGTTGACCGTTTAAGTTCGTTTAAGGCATTGTATTTTACTATCAAAGGCCTTTATTTTTATGTGCATATCAACCTATGCTTACATTTAAGATTTTTTTGTTTTTGTGACTCCTAGCGGGCCGTCCCCCTGAGGAGGTAGCGCATCATTAAATAATGTGTTAAAAAGATGTTAATGCCCAGGACCTGTGTATCAAGTTTTGATGCTTTATCTGTACCACATTTTGAAATATTAAACTGTCCCGGGACTTTTTTCACCCTGTATATGTATATATATATATATATATATATATAAATATATATGTATGTATGTAAGTATGTTCGTATGACACCTTATTGCTAAGTTGGTATAAATATTTGCATAATCAGACCTGATTTTTCCGGAACTTCCAGGGACCACATCCACCATGGGTCGGCAGCGAAGATTGTCACGTTCCACCGTAGCCCCCTCCCAGAGCTACGCCATACAAGAGGCATTCGGTATGTAGATACGATTACAGTGGAGATTTTCTGTCAACTTTTTTCTACAGTTACCTTACAAAGTGGGTTTCCTTGCACTGATTATAGAACGTGAAGTAGCTAATTGCGGCATTTACTTACTTTTGCCGCACTTCAGTATTCCAACCAAACAACACAAAACATCGTTTTATTAGGCCCATGTTACGTATACGCTTGAAAATAATTTGGCAACGTAACACAAATAGTTATTTGAGTGCGGCAAAAGTAAGTAAATACAGCAATTAGCTACTTTGCGTGCTACAATCAGTACAAGGAAGCCCACTTTTTCAGGTAACTGTAGGAAAAATATAAAGTGTAACGCGAGCGCAAAGTTCCATATCATCTGGAAATTTATGGCTTTTTGCCGATGACGCCTGTCACCTAGTCCCAGGCCCAAATCGAAACATCACGATTGAAAACGCCCAAACTGGCTTGCTTGAAATGTCAACTTGGTGTAGCAAAAATCATCTGGTCCTAAATTCTAGTAAAACCAAATTAATGGAATTTTATAACAGGAAGAAGCCTGAACCACCTCCGATATTGACCTTGGACGGGGTGCTACTTGAAACCTGTAGTGAAACCAAATACTTGGGCCTACACATTACGGAGAAACATTGGGGAACACATGTCGATGCAATAGCGCCCAGACTGTCATCTGTCACCTACCTGCTGTTTAGACTTCAAAAGCTGGTTGACATCGAGATTCTCCTTAAGGTTTATTATGGCTGTTTTCATAGCATAATCTCATATGGTTTGGTATTTTGGGGTGGTTGTAGTGAGGCAAAACGCATCTTCATCCTTCAAAAGCGTGCAATTAGAAGAATATGTGGAGTCCATAGACGGACACACTGTAAACCTTTGTTCCAAGAACTGAACATCCTCACACTTCCGTCCCTCTTTATATTGGAATCCGCATTGCTTGTTAAGAAGAACCCCAATATTTTTGTAACAAACAGCATGGTCCACAATTACAATACAAGAAGAGCAACAAATCCACATGTACCTCGAGTAAATTCCACCCTTGCAAGCAAGAGCCCTTACTTCAATAGTATAAAAATTTACAATAAATTGCCTCAATACATCACACAAGAGCCCTCTATCAACAAATTCAAGAACCCGCTAAAAACTTTCTTAAGTCAAGTGGCCTACTACAGTGTTGACGAAATGTATGTCTAGGCCATGTACAATCTTGAAGAGGAAATGAATCCATCTATATAAATTAATATGAAGAAATGTATAAAAACCTGACGACCACGTCGCTGATGCGATACCAGTGGGAATTCTCCAAGTATCCAAGTATCCAAGTAAGTGCCACTTCGCACACTAGTTGCACAAATAACAATGATCCAACTTATGTCAATATTTGTTTACTATGAAATTTAAATGATCCTATTGTTCTTTCGATATTTTCGTCAGCTGTTAAATCATCGTCCTACAAAATCAATTTTTTGTATACTTAAAAATTAACTAGTCTAATGATTCATTTAATTTGGGATAAATTTTGATGATTATAAGTTTATATTATTTGAGGAATTATTGTGACAACTTTCCATCACGATTAATACAAGCAAATTTTATATATTAAATACGTTTCGGGATTTGAAGTCTGATCCCGCCCTTAAGTGAGGAACCAATTATGACCACGTTGTTTTGGCTTGGTTCGTGTAGGCTACTAATATTATTTTGTTTAAGATATTTTATTATCTAAGAATGGGGTCAGATTCCAGATCTCGAAGCGTCTTTGAAAATTGTTTTACTGATCTCAAAGTAAATTTCTACAATAATCCCTTGAATAACATGTAATGCTTTTGTCATTGCTATTGTCGGATATGTCTTCCTATACCGATCGCAGGTCCACTGAACGAAGCACCTTGCGGGAAGGTCGGCGAAGACGTTATTCCAGGGACTCCATTGCCATCCTCCCCGGGACCTTCACCATCAGACGACGTAAGACTGCCATTAAGTACGTCTCTGGAGGAGGAGGACGAGGACCAAGAGGACCAATTAGAGGACTCTACAGGAGGCATTCCTCCATACGTCGATAAAAATGTTAGTAGAGAGCAACAGAGTGAATGATACTGTTTAGATACAATATCTAACAACTGGTATGATTCCAATGATAATGAATATTACGATAACTGATTATAACAAATATGGCTCTTTGATGACGTAATGGCCATTATGGGAATTTTGTATTAATTCTTATTTACATTTTATAATAATATAAGAAATATTTTGTTTTAATCATACACATATCAGTTTTACCTTGGATTGAACTGCTTCAAAGGCAGTACTTTTGCATTATGGTGGTGAGCATTTAAATTGTTAATAAAACTCTACATGCATCGCAAATATTTTAAAATTAGCAGTGAATTTAAAGCATATTTCTGTGTTTGAGGTTTTATGCCACAGAGATTAACAAAATGCATCCTCTCACTTGGTCATTTGGACATTTCATCAATCTGTTAATCTAAAATATTAACGTTCCTAATATATTTTTTAACTTTCTAAAGTTTAGGGTTAAATTATAAACCCTCCTCCCAACCGGTAGGTGATTTATAATTTAATTAAATCATTGATTCAATGTGGGTAGCAAGTCTATTAAAATCTGCATGACAACTGTTTGGACACACGATCAAGTGATGTAAAAGCATTAATTGGTTTATCGATTTGATTAATTTCATGTTTCCATCGGGATATAAAGGCAATGAAGTGTATAGGGAAACAGTCGAGGGGAGGGAGCCAGTACGGGGTCACGGGCAGGGTAGTAGGAAGGTTTATAATATATTCATAACTATTGACCCCAATTTTAGCACCAGTTTCTCTGAGCAAATGCGTGAGTGTATGAGTCGACAACAATATATTATTTCTTTAACAAGTTTCCCAACCAGCTACTACTTGTCACTTTGAATGTTTCTCACCACCTTAAAAGTGTATACAAATTTAGTTTGCAAGGAAGAAGACACTTAATTGTTTTTATTCTTTTCAAAAATTATTCATATGATTAACAACATACATATTTATAAAGAAATAGTACACTATCATTATTATAAAGCTGAAGCATGTAAATTCCGAATTAATGTTTAAATGTGTTACCTCAGTAAATAAAAATATACAATAAATAATATAAAAAAATACAACCATGGCAATGATTAACGCACAATAACTGTATATAATCGCCGGGCTCTGCTTCTTTAAGTCGATTAGGTTGGTTTTAGTTTAAACGTATGGTTATTTACTTGTTCATTAATGTATTTTAAACTTATTAAATGAAACTATAATCATAACTATTTTATAATACTCTAAACTTATAATATAATAGTTTTTCATTTATCGGTAATTAGTAAACTAATCATTGCAATCAAACAATCAACTAATCAACTAATCAGACCTTTGAGACCTTGCATTGAAAAAAATGTAATTAGAAAAACGTTCACAGCGGTTTTCAAATTGCAGTACAATTGTGATCGTTTCTGGGGTTTTATTTACTACAGAACGTCATTTCACTATTTTCACAAGTCATCGAATAAAAAGTTAAAAAGATCAACTGCTAGAATATTTTTTTTTTGTATTTTTAAATCATTTCTGTTTTATAATTCAACAAAATATGTAATAAAAACATAAGCATTTAACATTGATATAAACAGTGGTAAATAGCAGTTAACTGTTTAAAGGCCTTTCTCTATTGGTCTGATTTTCAGAGTAGTACTGCGGATAGTCGAAGTACTTACTCGTGCGGACGTTAATCCACTCTAGGGAGTATCGCATCCACAGTGCATGCCTATAAATATCCACAATTCGTGACCTCCTAGTAGTTGGATTACAGGACGACGCCACCCGTTCCAGTTTTAATTTAAAGTAATTTAGAGAGAAAAGTGCATAAAAGGGGTCTTGAAATTTATGACTTTAAAAGACAGTTCTAATCTAGTTTCTACAAACCACAGACCATTCATAATAAAATATGTTTCAATTAATGTCTATTTTAACGAGTTAACGATTGCCTTTGGATCGTCAATGATATATTGTCAGTTCGTGATATATCAGCCGCTGATATCTAGGGTATCAATTATTGATCAGTCAGGTGGGCGTGCAGTGGTGCAGTTCGACTGTTTAACACTAAGACAGTCACAGTGGTAAACTTTACGATTCGTGGAAACAGCAGGGTCTATCATATCAGATAGCCTTTTTCAGTTATGACCACTAGAATGAATTAAGCTAAATCCAAATACACCTGTCACAGCAAACCTGCAGACTAAGCGAAATTCCATTTGCCTGATTTGATTTTCACTTAAATCGATTTAATAACATTAGGTTTGACAAGTACTTAGGTTTGCCGCTTTATAAAAGTAAAATATAACAGTTTACTTGTTCTCCATAAGAATAACAAGGGAATTTTAAATTTACAATTTTTTAATTTTCTCCGTAACCAATAACTGTACAAAACACCTCAATACAGTATATTGTATTATTCGCTTTTAAGCTGTTCAAAATGTTTGGGAGAGAAATTTGGAAAATGTTATGTTTTAGTATCAAAAATTAGAGAAAAACAATTTTTATCCCGTTAACCCCGATCGCATGATCCGATCGCGAACTCGTTTGAATAACATAGATTTACAAGTCGGTACCAAATTTCATAAAAATCGGGGTTTTTTACTCGAGTTATCGCTGTAACAGACACACACATAGATATATATGAATTCAAACTGATGGAGTTATAGGCCTCTGGAGACAACAAAACGAAAAAGGAAGTTGGTCCCGGGTCTTACTATGAGATCTACGGTAAAAGTTTGTTCCTTACATGGGACCTTCACTAAAAATAATCCTAAATCACCCTAATTATTCTTGAATTTTAAATGCCATTTGACACTAAAGTATTGCCTCGTACCATTTTATGGACCAGACGATCCTTCAAGAAAAGCTTCATTCATGGACTAGGCCTACTATGTGCGAACATTTCACGTTGACATTGCTTCACAGCCAAAGGACTCGACGTTTGATCTTACAATAATTACACCTACTTACCCTAGTGCGAATGTGGTTGCATAAGCCAACTTTTAAATATCAGTCAAAAGCAAAACGAGACAAATACGGATGGTTTATAGGAAACCCTGAAATGTTAATATTTCAATTGATTCTCAAGTTAAACTGTGAATATTATTAGGAGGGCCAGTAAGATAATCATGTCAGTAACTATATGTGTAGACCAAATTTGAATTTTGAAGGTCTCGGGTTTTGCTTTTAGGCCCCTTCAAATCCTAATCTTAGTAAGCGATGTGTTCAAAAATGTTGAGTGTAGGACTTTCGGCCTGGGGTGATTATGAGGAACTTACCCTCCGCAACAAACAATAGGGAACATAGGTAGCTCTGAGTCTGTTGCTCCCGAAAGATTCCCTATAGGTTAATTTCAAAGGTTTTGTGGATAAAAGGAAGTAGGGAAGGGGAGATAGGGGTGTGTGACACAGCAAGCTGGGCAAAAACTATGAATAGGATTCTGGATTAGTACTTCCAGGAAGGACCTGAGCCCCAGGGCACTCTAGAGCAGGCATTAGATGGATTTAATTCAATGTCTAGACTGGCTTAGCCACAAACACCGAGCTTGAAATTGTTCATTTAAACAGTTTTTAACCGACTTTAACGACAATTTGACCACGTATGGGTCAGCCCAAAAAGTTAAAGATACCAAAACAGTGGTGTATGTATAAATTTACCATTATATTAGTTAAATACGTTATAGTTTTTATAGACAGGCTACTGTAGAAGGTGGGGACAACATCCGCCTTACATAATATATGTATTAAAGTTTTATAAACCATTTATAAATTAAATAAATTATTTACACGAAACGTGTACACGTTATTTGAAAAAGCATTTATACGATGAATTTAACTTTTACAGAATGTTTATACGACGTATACATGTATACTTAAAAATAACAATCGGTTGCATGTTAAAAATGTTATTATTACTGTACAAAAAAAAGCAATTGCGTGACTCTATTTTAACTACTTTCACGTTACCGAATCTTTCGTAAAATTTGTCATGTGGAACGATCTGTGGTGACAAAAGTTAATTAAGACTTGTTTGCCATAGGAGTTAAACATTGAAACAAATTTAAACGTTGAGTAAATCAAGAATTTCCAGACCACTTAACATGAAGAAAACTATTTTTTTTTATTTAGGACTCCTTTCTACCCTAGTTAAAAATTGCTTAACACCACCTCACCATTTCATAGGTACTATACCATTAAACATTTTGATTAACAATAATTGTACACTTGTTTTTTACAGTAACAAATATGGTGCTTAAGCGTAACAAATGAACAAACAACCACACCCATATCAGACAAACAGATACAATTGAGTTGTTAGGCTTAAAATAAAATAAAAATTAAACTATGCTAAACAAAAAAACAATGAATCAGCGAAATTCTAATTTTATTAATTTAATTGGTCATAATCCTTTTGGTAAATCCGGAAAGGCAATTTATTTTATAGATGGAGGCGTCTATTTAAATCTTACATTGGCTAATATCTAACATGGACTTAGATCCAAAATAAAATTATTTTTGTCACATTTAAAATAATTCCAACGAAATCCAAAAGACAACTCCTTAGTATCAACCAAATACGGGGTGAGTCTTCTAAGCTATCCTAAACAGATTGCAGACAAACAGCTTGACTTACAGAGATGAAACAAAACTTTTCCCCACGAATTCATACGCAAGGAACAACGTAAAAAGTTTTTTTAACATATGTCATGTTATGCATAGTTTTTAGCTCTAGACTAGACAAGCAATTTAGTGAAAACAGAACTCCTTTATCTCTATCCGTTTCAAAATGGCGGCCATTTGTATTGAAAATATTAATTGATATTTACAGAATACCCTGTTAAAACCACTAAACCTGTTTTCGTTCTGTTTAAAAATTCTTAATCCTCGTGAGTTCTGCTTTAATATTATATGTAATATGTCAAAGTTTTAAAAACTAAATATTTTTTCAATGATTTTTTTTATATTGGTAGCCATGTAAATAAAAAAATTTAAATATAAACATATGTCAAATGGCGTATCATTTTGAAGGTATTGCAAAAAAAACTTATAAATTTAAACCCATCTTTAGTAGTTTTCTAGTAATTAACCAAAAACTCCAATTGCCCATATACAACCTATGTTAAACGTGCAGTACTGGAGATTAGTGGATGCAGATACACTTTTCAATACAGTCCTGCACGTTTACATTTGAAAACTCTAAGATTCTAACCCTGGTATCAACCACGTTGTTCCTTGTATATGAATTAGTGGGGAAAAGTTTTTTTTTTCATCTCTGTATGTCAAGCCGTTTGTCTGCAATCTGTTTAGGACACCTTAGAAGACTCATCCTGTATATTTCAATATATCTCGCTTAATTGGTATAACATTTTCATCTTATAATATAATTAGATATAATAATATATCTAATCCAATATGAATCTGTGAATTTCATTCAACAATCAATGCAATTTGCAATATAATAATTGGAACACATAATTCAACATTGTATTTACAAAAAAAATCAGTTGGATAGAATTAAATTTAATGTTTTATTAGGTAAAATATCAGAGGAAATGTGTCAAAATTAACTTTTACTGAACACTTTTATATTTAGCGTACGTGGCCAACGAAATAAAGAATTCAATTTCCAATTACTACAAGTATTTTACATTTAAATATTTCGTAATACAGTTAAATAGGCACCCTTTAGTGATGAAATGCACAATTTTATATTCTTTTACTAGGTACTTTACACAATTACTTTTATATTTAGCGCACACGGCCAAAGAAATAAAGAATTCAAGTTCAAATTGCTACAGGTATTTTACATTTAAATTGTTCGCAATACAGTTCAACAGGCACCCTCTAGTGATAAAATGCACTATTTTGTATTGTTTTACTACTGTACACGAAAATCTGTTATTTTTATATTTAGCGTGTGCGGCAAACGAAATAAAGAACTCAAGTTCTAACAATTACATTGAAATCTTTCATAATGTGACATATGACTATAAAGTCATATGGTTCTTAATTATTATTATGTTGTTTTTTGTAAACAATGTTTTAGTAAACAAACTTACTTGTAGCTCATTAAATGGAATTCCTTATCTAAATATTTAGTTTTATTTTAAAACAAGAAACATAATGTACAATTCAAAGCAAAGACAGTTGATGTCTTTGACTTTAAACAATTTTTTTCCTCAACTATCTTTTACCTAGGGTGGTTCACTTGTTTGCGAAGCATGTTTAAAAAGTTGTATTTCTCCAAGTACAATTATCGATAAAAATTAGTTTTTTAGAAAATCACTATCAAAATATCCCATAAAAAGAAGCATAACTGATGAATTATATGTAGTAGACATTTACATATTTTTGTATTTTAAATGTTGAAACAAAACGACGTTTATTTGTGGCGGATATTCACTACCACCATCACACCATCACTTCCTGAATCTTTAATGCCAAAGATTACAGTAATATTCTAGAACAATAGTAATGTATTTCTTAGAAGGCTTGGCCCATGCCTCCTGTGTCGACGACCCTGACTACTACCCCACAAGTATTTCTGGGAGATTCCTGGGATTTAATGGGTAAAGTGCAAGCTGAGGTCAGGTACCTGCTCCCGAGAAACCTACCCTTTACAACACACAATAGGGGCAGCCCAGGCCGAGTCAGGGGCAGCGCAGGCCGAGTCAGGGGCAGCGCAGGCCGAGTCAGGGGCAGCGCAGGCCGAGTCAGGGGCAGCGCAGGCCGAGTCAGGGGCAGCGCAGGCCGAAAGTCCGTTTCCCAAAAATGTTAAATGTGGATGGCGCACTTAACAGGTAAAATAGTTTCTAGTATGATATATATAAAAAAAAATCAAAATTTCCCTTCAGATTACATGTTTATAAGATTAGAAACTAACATATACAGGGTGATTTGTACTAAGTGTGACAAAATTTTTTTGATGTAAGTACAAAGTAAATGAAGTGTGATGATGCATATGTTCCAAGTCTCAAAATTAGCGTCCCAAAAAATTATTTTTCCTACAGTTACCTAACAATGTACATGTTCTCTCACTGATTTGAGAAAGCGAAGTGGCCAATTCGCTCATCAGTGAGACAATGTTAACATTGTCTCACTCTAATTACTTTAACGTCGTATGCGCGCGAAATACGTTGGCAGCACTGGCTGTAAATCAGCTGGTCAGCTGTTGTACTTTTGTATTTGTCACTTCACATTAAATGTTATATTAAAATTTCACTTCTGTGTAAAAATAGGTTATGTTTCTTCACAAATTTATTTGTTTTATGGTAACTGTAGGAAAAGTATAATGTGAAACTCGAGTTCAAAGAACAAATTCCTCACTCGAGAAACCATTCCTCACTCGCCTACGACTCGTGGGTAAGGATTTCTCTCGAGTGAGTCAATTGCTCACCTTTCTCACTAGTTGCACAAATAACTATTATGTTTTTCAAAAATAACCATGGTTTTAAACTTAATACAGCGATTTCTCAATTACCTGTATATGGATTTGAGTAGATAATGTCATTTTCGTGTTCTACATTAAATTTTGAACAAGAATAATGGAGAAATGACGGAGGATCAGTTGTAAAAATTCCATTGTAAATAGATTCAAAGATAAAAATTAAGATATTTGATACAAATTTTAAAAACCAAGGTCTATTGTATTTTTCACACCCTGTATATAAGAAAGTGTCGGAATATGTTAAAAACTGCGCCATTTTATAAGCTTTCCAAACATATGCTACACTGTTGATGTTTAGATATTTTTTTTGTTTGTTTTAGTGGTTTGAATACCAGAAAACAGGGAACTTTTTACTGTTTTTACTGTTCATGTTGAATTAAAAACACATCTTTTGCTTAATACATGCCGACTTTCTATGTTTTAAATGTTAAAGACACCATGCTTTGTAGTCTTCAAACCATTAACGCGTACATAAGCAGACATAAACCTCAATAGTGTAGCATATCGTTGGAAAGCTTATAAAATGGCGCAGTTTTTAACATATTCCGACACTTTCTTGTATACAGGGTGTAAAAAATGCAATATACCATTGTTTTTCCTATTTTTATCAAACATCTTAATTTTTATCTTTGAATCTATTTACAATGGAGTTTTTACAACTGATCCTCCGTCATTTTCTATTATTCTTGTTCAAAATTTAATGTAGAACACGAAAATTACATTATCTACTCAAATCCATATACAGGTAATTGAGAAATCGATGTATTAAGTTTAAAAGCATGGTTATTTTTGAAAAACATAAAATAATTTTTTGGGAAGCTAATTTTTAGACTTGGAACATATTATATGTATCATCACACTTCATTTACTTTGTACTTACACCAAACAAATTTTGTCACACTGAGTACAAATCACCCTGTATTCTTCCCATTGATTACATTTAAATGGAACATTTATTAGGTGTTTCTAAAGTTGCCACAAGCCTACGTGCCGTGAGGTGGGCACGTCGATGTAGTAACACTTCGGCCCAGTAACATTTCGGCCAAACTCAAATTTCTTAGAAAAACAGTATCACTTCGTCCCACTCGCTTTTACAGATGATTAAATAAGCTAATGGAGTAACATTTCGGCCCGGCGAAAAATTGACAAGGGTTGAGGAACGCAGTTCAGGTAGTAGGAGGTACATGACCTGTATACTTTGCAACCACCCTCTGGTGGAATGTCGCCCAACCGTCACCCCTTGCATCCTCTGACCTCACATGACGGAGAATCGGTGGAATCTTACCTAACCTAACCTAACCTGTCAAATATTTTGTTGGGACGAAGTGTTACTAGTGGGCAGGTAGAGAGTTGGACCGTAGGCCACATCTGAGGGTTTCGGGCCGAAATGTTACGACACGGGCACGTCTCGTTTTGATGATTTGAAATATGGCCTATCATAACAGCAATGGCGTCTTGGCAATCAATTTACTATAAATAATTTATTATACAGGGTGACAAAAAAGTCTGGAAACGGCTTAATATCTTTTTAACTAAATCCGTTAGAAAAGTCAAACTTTTCACATCAACTTACATGTATAAAAACTACTTTTTCCAAGCATTTTCATGTTTTTACCTCTACCAGGGGACGACCCATGAGGAGTAGGTACATAATCTTTAACGTAAGCATAGGTTGATATGCATATCATTTTAAAGGTCTGGTCAAGTGGAGTTCATTGCCGGAAACCGCATCTGAAAAGGTTCGTTCGTTACAAAATGGTGGCATTTCAAAGTTCTTGTGGAATATACCTTTACGGGCCTTAATATTGGTAAATACTCGTATTAAACATTATCTTGAGAGCTGAAACTGTATTTTAAAGTCAACTAGCCCATAGACTAAGTTTATTCAATCTTCAAAACAAATTTAACCGGGTTTCAGATTTCCCGGCTAATTTTGACTATGAGTATTTACCATTACTAAGGCCTGTGCATGTATATTCCACAAGAACTTTGAAATGCCGCCATTTTGTAACGAATGAACCTTTTTTGACGCGGTTTCCGGCAATAAACTCCACTTGACCAGACTTTTAAAATTATGTGCATATCAACCTATGCTTACATTAAAGATTATGTACCTACTCCTCATGGGCCGTCCCCTAGTGAAGTTAAAAAAATGCATATCAACCTATGCTTACATTAAAGATTATGTACCTACTCCTCATGGGCCGTCCCCTAGTGAAGTTAAAAAAATGGTAATACTTGCAAAAAGTAGTTTTCATACATATAAGTTTATGTGAAAGGTTTGAATTTTCTAACGAATTTAGTTAAAAAGTTATCAAGCCGTTTCCAGACTGTTTTGTCACCCATTTCGATAACAGTTGGAAATGCCATTGCTGTAACTGTTAAATGTACCTGTTACGATTCTAACATGCATTATACCTGTTTACAACCATTGCAAATAAACAACTATGTTAACCAACCAAACACTAACTACGGTATTTGGTATAACAAACTAAACAATTGATATAGCTTTACTGTTTGTTCACAGCTAGTTTATAGCTAGTTATAGCTCTAATATACATGGTGTCCCTTAAGTAACTAGCCAAACTTCGGGAAACGGTTCTATGGGTCAAAATAAAGAGAAAATCAAGAATATATCTTTCCGAAATCGCTACCTTAACCAGATATCCACCATTTTGATTTTTTCACATACACATAATCTTTGATTTTTTTTACCGATCATTACGAAACTTGGTACATACAAAAAACAGAAAACCACTTACTATATAATAATTACATAATGTATTATGTGTAATTTAGGATGTAATGTATATCTTATTTTAACATACATATGTTGAAATAAACCAGACCCATCTAAAAAAAAGATTGATCTTAATCCAATCCAAATTTCAAAATGGCGGCCATTTAAATTTTTAAAATTGGAATTACAAAAAAATTGATAATTTTATGAAAAAATGTCGTACATTGTGTGATTTAAATGTGTAATCGTTGGTTCAGCTGTTGGGCCGAAACGACGTTTTCTGGAAAGGGTTATTAACAATCGTATCTTGTTCCCTGACCGAATTTTGTCTCAATTGACCACAGTATAGTAGGAGAAATATCTCTAACGTGCAAAAGACATAATACACGTAAAATACGCATGAAGGTATCTTTTAATTTAATCAGATAATACATTGTTAAACCCGCCCAAATCTTCACCACTTGACTTCCAAGCAATCTTCATATTCATATACTTCATCCACTACTTCATCTTCACTACTTAACTTTTGGCATTTTAGATTGCTGACTCTGAGACACTGTTCTTCCATGACGGACGACGTAGAATTGACCTTGTCCTGGTGTACGAGGAGGAGGACATGAGTCTGGGAGTGTTGACTGAACAGGACACTCTCAGGCAGTTCTGGAGAAGACAGTTTCATGACAATATGCGCCAGGAGGGATTAGAAACTGAGCTCGAGGACAAGGAGGTACAAATACGTCTTTGGTATACCGAAAAATACACCATATATGGACCTGCTGTAGCCAATTTTGAATCTCAACTAAATTGTTGAGTAAGCCACTCCACAGAGTGTGCTACAATCCCGGATTCTAATTAGGCCTACTTTTTGTTCTTGTTCTATGTTGATGTGATGTAAAAGATTACAGTTAGTAGTTCTTTTAGGTTTCCTTTGTTGAAAAGTTGGCGTATTTGATGGAAATAAATAATGTATATCAATATCAATGACTCTGTCGGTGTAGTTGATCAATTCAACTACATGCATTATTGTTCTGAACTGGCTACAACTTCAACATGGAAATGGAATGTCTAGTTCTATTTATATTTAAAACCATTTTGAAGGCTACATAGCAGTTACCGATGTATAATTGTAAAAGATTTTACCTATTCAGAGAATAAATGACTTATGACAATGACATCACTGTCATTTTGATCACTGACATCATTTTGTAAAGATTAGTCTGTTTTATAATATACTATTCAGTAAAAGATTTGTTTGTAGTACCATTGTACAAATAATAGCATTAAATGTTATTTGTGGCCGTCCTAGTGAAATTGAAACAAAACTTTTGTTACATTGTAAGAGTATTATTTGCAGAGCTCATTTGATCAGAAAACCTTTTTCCTCAAAGTCCACGCTCCATGGAGAGTTATACTGAAGTATGCAGAAGCAATGAACTTGAAAACACCAACAAAAGTAAGAAATATAATATTGTTTTTATATTCTAAAAATTATTGAATCTTTAATTTATAGAAGAATTGAGAAAAAAATTATGACTGTTGTACCTAATTTAATATAATATTAACATATGAACTAGAACTAAATATTTTTAACAATACCTTTGAACATCATACTGTGTTTGTACATATCTTTCGCCTAAAAGTTAATCATCCTGCGTTAATCTGTTTGTAGTCTTACAATTATTGTTTGTAATTAATTGGTTAATGTTGCAAGCCAAATTTTTACAATAAATGGTATAGGAATTGTCAATCGCTGATCTATGAAAAATAATAGAATTAGAATTATTTTTAAGGTTTTGGCTCGCAATAAATGTAGAACAGGGAATCACTGATGCAGATGAGTTTAAAAAGATAACTCATAAGTAAAGTATTATTTAATAAAGGTTTTTTTTTCTGTTGAACAGAGTTTGTGAAATTTGTAACGTCCAACTAATAAATTCCTAATTCCCTTTCTTTTAGAGGTTCCTCTCCATCAGCGTTAAAGCATGGGTAAGTCAACTTCACTGCTATTCTCATATAAAACGCTCTGATATCAAAGAAAATTATGTAGTTCATTCACTAATAGGTGATTTCCAGTGGCTTAGTTAAGGGACTTCTAGCAACTCTTGTATGACAAAGAATTGTCAGCTTAAATGGACAAGTATTATTTTACCACCTCCTTGCTTTCCAAGGGTTGAAGTTTTGAGGGATGAATGGAGTACCAAGAAGCACTCTCATTTCATTTAAGGGTTAGTTGTCATTTCAAATGGATGAGGGATCAGACTAAAGAATTTTCAAATACATTTTCTCCAGCAATTATTGACAACAAAATGGTCTTATCCTTAATTTTTATTCTCTTAAACACATGTATTATGTGTTAAATTTGACAATGTGCGCTACTGATAATGTGATCATACAATTAAGTATACATTCTAGTAAATAATCACTTGAGAAAATTAAAATGTTTACACTACTCTGAGGAATAGAAAGTAGTTTAGCAGAAGTCGTAGTGTATGATTGTAGGGATTGATGACCTAACTGGAGTGTGCTAACATAACTGATTCTACAGTCAACAGGTAGCATTTGGTCAATATACCTCACCTACTGAATATTTGTATACCATGTTTGAACAAGTCAATCATTTTTTTTCTTTCTCATTCTTTTAGTTCATTTGATTTGAGTCAATACTGTAAATGTTTACTTTAGTTCTTCATCGACCTAATGGAAAATCTTCAAGTGATTCTTTATACAATTAATCGATACTGAAAGGTCTGTTTTATTAGTTTACACTTAATTTAATGAATAAAATGAAACTTGGATATTGAGTTAAGGCCAAGTTTCTTTTCTTGTTTCTGTTGTTAACTTTTTTCACCAGCCAAACTCATTTATACAACCCAGATTACTCTAACCCACAATAGGTATTTAACAACTTTTTTATTAGTTTATTTTAAGAAACGTTTTTCGATTTTACCATTTACAATGTGGCTTAAATAACCTTGACGGGCTACAAAATTTACAATTTTATGCTATACTTTTATTGATTGTAAATTGTTTCAAACCTTTTTCTCTTCTGTAGGATGGCAGAATTTTTTACATACACTCATATAGGTGTCCCACGAAGAGGTTTAATATTTTTGAATAATTATTCTAGATGCATCGAAAGCACTACATGCTTGAAACTCAACAGCAGAAAAAACAGATATCAAAATACAATTAAACACAACCTTCTCTCCTTTAGTGGGATACATTGTTGATTCAATTTTTACTTTCCCTCCCTATACAAAGTACCTAAAGTGTGTGTGTGAATGTGAACAGAGCTACAGACTACACCCGTGGTCCGATTATGATAGCATTTGGTATGTCGGTACTAATAATCAGTTGTATCTCTACGCATTTTTTCATTTTTTTAAATTGATTTTTTATGGGGATTTTCCCAAAATATTCATAAAATACCAGAAAAATCTGATTTGTACAAAAACGACACACACTATTTGAAATAAAATTTGGTATGTTATGGTCCTTTCCCAATAGTGTAAAAATTAGGGTTCAGAAGTGACTGCAATTTTTGTGATTTTACCTATAAAATATCATAGTTGCTCCCACCGCTTACCCATTATAACGGGAGTTTGACGAGCATGTGTCAAAAATGACACAATGGGAGAAAGTATGAGTCAGTTTCCTGATACTGTTTATATGAAATACAATTGAAGCTTGTCTCTACAGAGTATATGTATCTTTTACAACAGGAGGGGGCTGAGAAGGAACCAGATAACCAGGAGGTTGGGTTTTCCCTGCGAAGACTGTTTGATTTGGACCCTAGAACGATTGCCCAGGAGCCTTCCTTCTATAGCGCGACCCATAGCACTGATAGGGAGGAACAGTGAGTACTATGTAATCATGGACATTTCATGGTAAAATATTAAGACAAACATAGGGCATAAGACTTTTTAAAACTAAATATAAAATATCTTTTATTATTAACACATACAAGACGACATTTGGGATTTTGTTGTTTACACTTTGAAGTTTACAGGTGAGTTTTCCGCATTGTATCAAACTTATACTTTTTTTTAAATAGTTTTATTAGATATGTCAAAAGAAAAAAGATTAGGCATTTATAAAAACATAAAATCCTTAAAATTGTATTCATAATTTACTGTTAACAGCACTCGCTGACAAGTATTGTACCACTCTAGTCTGTGATTTTGTTATACTATGAACAAAAGTGTTGTACTATTAGTTGCAAATCCACTGTTATACTATGAACGAAAGTGTTGTACTATTAGTTGCAAAGCCACCGTTATACTATGAACGAAAGTATTGTACTATTAGTTGCAAAGCCACCGTTATACTATGAACGAAAGTATTGTACTATTAGTTGCAAAGCCACTGTTATACTATGAACGAAAGTATTGTACTATTAGTTGCAAAGCCACCGTTATACTATGAACGAAAGTATTGTACTATTAGTTGCAAAGCCACCGTTATACTATGAACGAAAGTATTGTACTATTAGTTGCAAAGCCACTGTTATACTATGAACGAAAGTATTGTACAATTAGTTCCAAAGCCACTGTTATACTATGAACGAAAGTGTTGTACTTGAATTCTGATAGTTATAAATTAATTAATTGTTATGAAGCGAATGAGATAAATTGTTTTATTCAATATTTACTATTTGTTGTTTTGATATAAAAAAAAAATATAACAAAGGTTACTATAGGTATGGGTATGCAATACCTTAATTTTAAATATGTTAACCCTAATTTTAGTGGTCTTTATTGGAAAAACTTATTTAATATCAGTTGACGATAAAATATGATTAGAATGTTATGAACCATAAGGAAAATTGCTTGTTTTTATTTGGAACTAGAGAAAATAACACAAAATATTGCATTGGACTATTGGACACATTTTTCTGTCCTAGAGATGACATTCCATCTGTACTGCATAAATATATATGAGCCAATTAACATTTATGCAGACGAACGTTGTTGAGTAACAGCGTCGAGTAAACAATTGAGTTTGTTGTATTGAAGTATTGAGCAACAAAAAACTTTTACACAGGGCTCTTTGCTGATCTAGAGGGATGGACTCTCAATTCCGCAAAAAAGGTCATTTAAGTATTAGTGAAGTACGTAGGTGAATAGGATCACAGATAATATAAAACCAATAATTTGTTACTTAGTCTATGATAGGATGCAAACTAACAATCCTCAGTACAGCAATTTAATGCTTAATTGATCTTTACTAAGCATTTAATTTTATGTTAAGTGAGATTTTGAAATATCATTGATAACATATAAAAAGCACAGGATTAACCAACAGTCAGGGACTCCAACAAAAAATGCATTTCTTATTTGGCTGGAGCGATTTCCTTCACATCAATCTTCAGCTATGACAAGAAATCAAATCAAATCAAATCAAAATTTCCTTTATTACGTTTTAAATAGACAATTTTTACAAAGTATATGTGTACAATAGAAATAAGTTTTAAGACCATTATCTAAAAAAAATAATCGAAATTAATCCCACATGGGATAACCCGTGCGTGGGAGTGAGTCGTATTATGTTACGATAAGAAAGAAATTATAAAGTTTGATAACATGAAATAAACAAAAACAGGTACTTCTAATGTTTCAGCGATTCTAAGACTAGGCCTAATCGTCGCAGAGGGATGGGAGCAAGGCGCTGATGTAAGATGTTTAGCTGCGATGGACAGTATATAGTCTAGTTGTTTTGTTTCACAGGTTTGTAGTGAAGGATCGTGAATCTTTCTACACATCAGCCCAGAGAAGTCAAGTAGTGTGGCAGATCTTGCTTAGGACTAAATACGATGATGGTGCGAGGGTATGTACATTGTATTATGATGTACGTTAAAAATTACTCATTATATAGGACAATAAGTAAAAAAAAACCTAAAAACAAAATTAATTATTACTTTAATTGGGCAGTCAAACATGGTTCATGGAAAAGATATAACAGTTTAATGCATGGTAACATGACATCTTATAAGGTCCTTCACAGTAATATTAAATATGTTTTATAATCCATTCAGATACCTGTAATGTTTTAGATAACAGTTATAATCTTTAAAATACAAGGTCTAAAATCAGTGGATTTTAGGTTACTCTAGCTACACTACAAAATAGATTTAAAACATACAACTATATAACCTCTCTAAAAATAATTACTATACATATATTTTCTTGAAAATAATTCCACGCAGGTGACGTTTAATACCTCACAGTTATTCGAAAATAGCAATTATTAAAAAATGGCGGATGTCAAACTAACCAAGCATTTTTGGAAAACGGTTCATTCTCAATTTTCGTTTTATTTTGGCCCATTAAACCATTTTCTGAATTCTTTGTACTTACTTACGAGGCACTCTATATATCTCCATAAAAAGCTAACTACAGAAAAGTTAACGTATCCTAAAAAAAACATGGGAATCTTAAATGTTTACAGTTTTTGGAATTTTCTCCATAACCATCAAATGTACACAAAACACTTAAATGTACTAAATTATTTGTTTTTTAAGCTCTGCAAAATTGTTTAGAAATAAATTACAATATTTTACGTTTTAGGGTAAAAAATAAGTAAAACCAATGTTTACCCCATAAAACCATGTGTCCCATAGACCAATCTTGTCTGTTTGCGTAGTCGTTCGAATAAACGTAGGTTTACTTGTTTGTACAAAATCAAAATCGGATGACTTTTACTCGAGTTATTGTGCTAACGGACATAGATATACAGGCTGTACATAAACTCTCTGGGACGCTCTTTCTTTGTCCCTTAGGTCAAAACAATGAAAACCCATCATGCAAACATGAGTCTAAAATGTCTGGTTTTCTGTCTGTCTGTATGTGATTTAAACACCTGTATCTATAAGTGTATCTACGGTGTTTTTTTTTACTCGCTTCTTTATTTATGTAAAAACTGCAATAGATAGAAATATGCAGTTTGCGGGAATCGTCTATTTACGTAGGGGCCACAATTGTTGTGAATTTAATGAGAAGTTCCCATTCACCCCCTACCCTTAACATAACTTTTTTAAATTACAAGGTACACCTTTTGACATATCAAATATGAGGGCATGAAAAAATAAAAAGAATGGCGGAAACTAGAGATCTCTCCTTCAATCCTATCAAAAGTTATGGTAGTTCAAAATTTGAATTTTCGCCCCCTTTTTTAAGAAAAACGTGTTTTTTAAACGGCTGTAGCTCGAAAATGGTAAGAGCTAGCAAAGATTTGAAAGTATTTTCATGGTCAGGAATTAAGTTTTCTACCCAATATCTCAAGCGTTTTCCGAAAATCGCACTCCTTCACCTTAAAAAATCACCCTACTTCTAAAATTTGTAAAATTTCTCGGATTTTTTACAAAATTTAGAAGTAGGGCGATTTTTGAAGGTGAAGGAGTGCGACTTTTTGAAAACGCTTTCTTAAGTGTTAACAATTTTAGGTGTACAGGTCAGGCAAAAAAGGCTTTGCCCCAAAAACTGTGATTCATCAGCTGAAGTTGGTGTTGGTTGATAGGGAATTTTAAATGCTAAATAAGAGTGTATGTATCCTTTGTGATTGACTTCAAACAAACTGCATATGTAATGACAGGTAGGATTAGCTTTTGTACAAGGTATCAGGTTTCTTAATTCTACCAATTCAAAATGGAGACCATTTAAAATTTATTTTCATTAAACTAAATGATTATACTAAAAAACTATTATTAAACAAACAAAAAAATTACGTGACTAACCCTACGATTTTACAATACCTCATGTAAAAATCGGATAAGGAAAATCTAATATATTACATTTTTGTGTGACCATGCATGGCCGTACCTTTCCTCGCCGACGCGAAGTGTCGATGGCATTGGACTATTGGACGATATTTAAGCAGGCCATACACGGTCCATATTAATTGTGCAATATGTTGCGCAAACTTGTTGAAGAGCCACTATACATGGTTTAAAGCCCTCGTTAAAGTCGTCAGTATTAGTAACAAAATTCCTCAGTTTAGTAACTTGTTTTAGTTTAGTTATCATGTGTGATTTGTATGCTGCAGCGTGTGTTGTAGTTGTATTGCTGGCGAAGACGAAGAATAGGAAGAATATAGGGTGTGGATGAAGGAGTGGTTGAAAAAAAATGGAATGACACATGCGGCACACAAACAGCGAAACAGCCTTTACAAATATGAGGCTGCTGAATGAGCTTCGAAGTGAACCAAGTGGCTTTAAAAGCTTTCTCAGACTAGACGCAGAATCGTTTGATAAGTTATTGCGTTTGGTTAAGCCTTATATTAGGAAATTCGATACTGCTTTTATCTGTAGTTGTAATGCTAAATAATTCACAATCTTTAAACGTGTAAAACACATTATTTATACAAAAACGACCAACCTCGAGCAGACTGACGGGATATTGCGCAATACTACCCACACACGATTCATTTTTTAAAAATATTTTTCAATAATTTTCAAAACTTTTTATATTCACTCAATATATTGCGCAATCTGTGTTTCGCCATACATGTTCAATAATATTGTGCAATTATACACATTTACCTATATGGGGCCCATTAGACATCATAACATCCATATACACGGTCTCACAAAAGTTGTAATAACTTGATCATTTATTGACCGATCTGTACGATTGAAGTACCGTTGGATTATTCATACAATTTCCTAAAACAAAAACTCCTAGTAACTAACTTTCAGTTGAACCGCAAATTTTTAAGATTTTTATACATTTTGAACATTTTAAACTATTGCCATTTTGAATTGGTAGAATTTAGAAATCTGGTACAGTATGACGTTTCTACATTTTTTACCTAAGGATTAAAAACAAATATACAAACGCGTTCTACGTAGTTTGTATGTTCAAAAGGGTGGGTACATAATTTTAGTAGTGATTCCTTGGATCAAAATAAGGAGAAAATCAAGAATAAAACTGTTCTCAAACATCAACATAAACCATTTTGTGTTTTTAAAATTGACTTATTTATCGTTGGATGAAGATTAACATTTTAAATGGATATCTACGTTAAAGTAAACAGGCCCGTGTTATAGAACTATCTTGGTCCTACTCAAAATTTTTAAATGGCGGTCATTTAATTTTCTTTTAATTTAAATTACAATAAAATGGCTGATTTAATGAAAAATATCAGGAACACTTTCAACACCAGTTCAAAAATACTAATAAAAATTGCTGAAATATACTGATTTTCTTGTAAATTGAGGTAGGATAAGGCTAAGCTAGGCAGGTTTCACCTTATTCTGCCTCATTTTACAATTAAAAATCGTGATATTTCGGCAATTTTATATTCTACATTTTGTAGAATTAATTACTCAAATAGTGTTTACATAACATATTAAAGTTGCTTCATATTTTGAAATCTTAGGCAACATTACTATGAGGAAAAGTTAATTTATTTTTGCCATCATGCAATATGTCTTCTCATAATCAAATCCATTAATAAAACTCCATAGCGTAGATGAACCAAAAGCTGCTTTCAAGATTTTGTCATTAATTAATATAATTTCCTTTTACATATATGCTTCACTTTTAGAAAATGGCTCTCAAATTGTTTCTTGGATAACAATTTACTAATCTTGCTTGTCCAATCTTTGATTTCTCATTTTGTTCTGTTTGACTACAGGTGGGCATTCGGAGGCTTCTCAACAATGGTACATACATCAGTGCTTTCCCTTTACACGAGGGTAGCCACAAACATCCCTCTAGAAATGGCTTCATATATGACCGCAGGGTAGGTCAAAACTGTTCTAGCAATACTTATATAGCAAAAAATAAAAATATAGACTTTATATGCAATTTTCATCCAAACTTATACACGGTTTAACACAGCCAATGCATTAAAGTCCTAAGGTTAAGACATTAAAATATAGTTGTAGTATAAAATATGTTTTTTATATACCATCAACCTACACATTGATGATGTATTGTTATATTTATATCATATTGGTATATTTATATATTTTTATATTTATTCTATTTTAAATTTATTTATTCTTACATCTATCTATTGTTATTCTACTGAGTTGTAGTATGTATTGTTACCGGTAAGTGTTTGTATTGTTTTGTCGCAACACATTAAAATCGTGTTATCCTAGATATACAAAAACTGTTAGTAATCTAAACTTTCTCGATCTTATGTATTGGCTAAAGCAGATTACATTGCATGTATAAATAAATAAATACACTTCCAATATGGATCCAAATCAAACATTAGATTAATATTTTGTTAATTAATTTGTACATTAGTTTGATTAATTGTTTATTCGTTTAATGCAGTAACTCTTTAAACTACTATGTGCACTGCTGGTATATTTTATATTGACATTGTTTTCAATGAATATCAGTTGCTGTACACGGAGTGGGCTAGACCAGGACGTTGGTACAAGAAGCAACCTCTTTGGCTGGTGCGAAAGTACTTTGGAGACAAGATCGCACTCTACTTTACTTGGTTAGGATTCTACACAAAGATGTTAATACCTGCATCAGTTGCTGGTCTTCTATGTTTTATCTACGGTGTTTTGTCCATGGATTCCAGGGATAACATTCCCAGGTAGTATTGCAAATATATTTATTATTATAATTACTTAGCTTCTATTCCGTCTTAAAAAAAATAACAACAAATATTTAAATATGAAAAAATAAGAGTCGTTTCCTAAGTTAACAAATTAATCTAATTCGATATCAATACCTCTTTGTATATTTTCAAGTACCTGTTATACTACACTGTCTGAGGCTCAAGACTTGAATGGTCAGAGTGTATGAATCCAAACCAGGACAATAATATTAGATTTTCTTTGGGAATGTGTAACGAAGGCATTCAGAATAAGTCATTAAGAAACTAAGATCGTGCCGACTGATGGCTTGACTTTGTTTAATATTGAACTGTTTAGTAATGGTATCTTTTAACCTACTTGACTGAAAACCTATTTCCATGTTTGATTATTTATTCAAAGATTGGCTTGGAAAGCAGGTCAATAGTGTAAATCGGGTGGAAACTATATCATTCAATGCCTATATAAAAAACTATAGATAATTAACATATAAAGCAATACACATATAGAAAAGCGCAACTGTGGTTATAATCATGTTATACCAGTGTTGTACTCCTAATGTACGAGGGTCTATACATCTTGTTGTTGTACCAGTTTCAAGAAGCGATCATTACATTAGATTACCTTTATTGTTGATGTCTGTAGTTCTTGAGTAGGTAATGTGTTCGTGTAACCCTATGAGCAGAATAGAATAGAATATAATCTTTTGTTGTCATTAAACATTTATATATACGTAATAGAAAGTGCCACGTGTAAAATAATATTACGCATAAATCACGAATACTAGAAAAATACCGGTGTGTATCATAAACATAAACAAATGACGTTTTTGGCCCGAAAATAAACATTATTTAACATTGATTAAATGGAACTGCCAAAACATATGTTCAATGCTATTACTATAGGATTCGGGCCAACAACGTAATTTGTTTATGTTTATGATCCATACCGGTATTTTTCTAGTAATCGTGGCATAAATTAAGTCACATTCAACCATGATGTTAATCCAAATACAGAGTTGAATAATCCGATGACATATTTAAAACTCGTTATCATGGAGGAATGGGTTTTCCACAATCCATTCAAAGACAATTTTACTGAAACTTTCTTGTTTTCAGTTTATCCTGAGGACTCGTAACAATGAATTTGAAGTTTTACTAAGCCTAAACTTATTAATAAATGTCAGGTTACTTGTCCTGGTAAAGTGGTCATGGACCTTATTTGATAGTGTAATATTCTATATCATAACGTTTCACATAGACTAGTCTAATAAACATATACATATTTAGATCAGTGGGTATTTTGTGCTTTATTTCGCCAAGTTGTGTGGCATCTTCAGGGGTCTTCTCAAGATATCCTCTTATCACTATTACTATAGACTATGAATGTTTGTTGTAGCAAGGAGATCTGCAACAGTACATTGGCAGGAAACATAACTCTTTGTCCTCAATGTGATAAAGCCTGTGACTACCAAAGACTGGGGGAAAGCTGCGTCTTTGCCAAGATAACTTATCTCTTCGACAACCCTGCCACAGTATTGTTCGCTATCTTCATGTCTTTTTGGGGTAAGGGAGGGATTTCCTTAAAACATGTACAATCCTGTTTGAACATGTTATTGTGAATAGAACCTTTGACGATTGATACAACTAGACGGATGGAACCCCATGTTTTGGCCAGTTTTTAAATCAAAATCGTCGTAGTTGATGTGAGCCACCGACAGATTGTGCTGATCTAAATTACTAATTTCTGTCGAATATGCGATTATTTTTACCAAGCACAAATGGAATAACCAATTGTAAACTATAGCGATTGTTATGACCCATCAACTTGGTCAGCAACAAAAAATAAGGTAGAAAATATAATCTTGACACTAGCGCAAATTAATTAAGGAAGAAAGGAAAATTATTCGTATTCACAATATTATCAAATAGTGTTACACAAAAATCTCTTACAAGTCCTAAGTGTTGTACATATGGCAACAAATTGTTTTTTTAATATTATTTTATATATATATATATTGAGGGATAGGCACCAAAGAGAACCCTCTTATGATTCACGAACTGATGGAAATAATTGAAATAGCTTCATTGTATATTTTAGCCCCCAGACTGCCGAATAATGTTAATAAAGGTTTAAATACCACAATTAACTAATCTATATAATTAGGGAAGAACTAGTTTCAGCTCCTATATTGAGCCATCATCGGCCGCCTGACGATGACTCCATGTAGGAGCTGAAACCAGTTCTTTCTATATGTTTACTATTTATATCTTGTCATCTCAGTTTGAGGAAATTTGTTATGTATAATGAATGATTTGTAGCAACCACCTTTTTGGAGCTATGGAAGCGCAAGCAGGCTGTAGTTGCTTGGGAGTGGGACTTGCAGAATGTGGAGGAGGACGAGGAACCGAGGCCAGAGTTTGAGGCTACAGTGAAAACATTTCGCACTAACCCTGTTACTAGACGCAAGGAACCCTACATCCCTGCTTGGAACAAAATGTTACGCTTCGCTGTCACGGGCAGCATGGTCTTCTTTATGGTAGGTGTCTCTCAACTCTCCATGCTAGACTTTTACTGTGTATTTATAATTTGTATTTGATTTACTCACTCAATACAAAGGCAATACAGATCCATTTAACACTTAAGCTGCATAGGTATTATAGAGGACTTGTCCACAGGATTTCTTGATTTTACTTTAGTCTTTTTTACAATACATGTTGAGTCAGCCATATTATTAGCTTTTTCCCCTAAACAGTAACAAAGCTTGAACCAACTAACTTAAAGACTATTTAACATAAGTATATACATTTAAAATTTAACCATCAAACAGTTAATAATTCATAAAACAATAACTATAGAAAATCATTAAAATGGTCTAATGAAAGTCGCTACAAAATTTCAAATTTTTTAGAATTACTTGAAAAGCAACTGTTAAATTTTATATTCATGTTGTGTACTGTATTGGTAGGCCTATTGTTTCAATTAGATTGTTGTATTTTTATTGAATGTTTATTTGCTATAGATAAAATCAATTTTTGTATTTTAGCGAATTTCCCTATAGGGAAGTAGTTATTACCGTAGGTGGCACGGTAAGACATATTCCCGGGACCGATATATATATGCAGGTATATGTATCCGTGAACTTGATAACTTGAGTATTTTTTTTTTTTATGAAATTTGGTTTGAAGGTGTAAGGCGGGATAAACTTGAATGAGTTCGTGGTCCAGCATGGTCGGACCATGGGAACGGGGTTTTATGGGGTAAAAATTGGGTTTTCTCATTTTTGACCCTCAAAACATAACATTTCCCATAACAATAACATAACATAACATTTGATTGGCAGACCTGGTCTGCGGTAGATTGGCACGGATTTTGACTCTGCATTTATTTTGTGTTTCATCTCTGTTATTTGGCAGTGACTATATTTATTAGTGTGTCTCAACGCTTTATTAATATTTGGAGGACCAGTGTCGTCTACAAACGATGCCAGACGTCTGTAAGTAACTGATTGTCACACTCAGTAACTAACATCAGCTCAACCAGTTGAAGAAAGACGTATCCATCTTCGCTACATATTGACGTTCTGCGCAGACGTCGTGCGCCGCTGCCAACTGTCGGGCGTCCGCCGCAGTAAATGTCCGCTTGTCACTAACCGCTGTTTGACGACCGACTGGCGCTGCCTACCTAGCCGCTGTGAAGGATTTATGTTGCGCCTTCAAATTCTGCGCTGCAACTTCATCACCTGACTGTGCTGCAGGCATGCATTTACTTTTATGAAGGGGTTGGACACTTCGTCACCTAACGAATATACACAGTGACCCTTATACACCATTTTAAGCAGTATATGCGCTGTAAAATGGTGGTGACACGTGGTATGTCGAGCACTACTGCAAATATAATTGAAGAAACATTCGCCAGTTCAGGTAACATTGACTTGGAAACAGAGATGCTGGTCTCTAATCTCTGCCTGGACTTAAAAAAGTTAGAAGCAAATCACCAAGATATTATTTTGACTGATATCCAATTAGGTATATGTAAATTGCTACAGCGTTTGGATGATGTGCTAACTTCAGATAATAACTCTAGAGCAGTGATCAAAGACCTCCAATGTGATATATTAACTCTTGAATCCCGGCTTGATCGTGAAAAACAACAACGACAATGCGATCTAAATGCTTCCTTTAATGAACTGGATGTCATCCGCGAAGAAAAAGACAATGCTTTAAAAGAAAAATGTATCATGTCCTCTAGTCTAATTAGTGTTAAGTCTAAGCTAAATAACATTACTGATGAATATTTGCACTTGAAGTCTGTTATTGAACTAAATGATAAAACTATTGCTAAGCTTAACGTAGACTTGGAAACTAGCAGGCTTCAAAATTTAGAATTGACTGATCTTGCCACAAAACTAAAATCCTCAGTTAAAAAAGCAGAGGAAAATTCCTGGCTTAAAAGTAGATGGGTTGAGGATGCTATTCTTGATGACTATTTTCAGTCCTTTAGTGAGAATGATGCATCTTCCAGAGTATTGTTTATGGGCCCCTCTGTGACACAAGTAGTAAAACATGGAACTACTAATGATGTAAAAAATATTCTAGCTGACTTAAAGTTCCATCAAGTAAACTATGCTTTTTTATGTATTAGTAATAACTTAGCTACTCTTCAGGATGACACTGGTACGCACTGGAGTCTATTGTTTGTCGATATATCCCGCCAGTTAGCATACCATCTAGACTCTCTCCAAGTTACAAATTCACTTGCTGCAAAACATGTAGTTTCTAAACTTGGATTTAAAGATAGCTGTTTCCATGAGTTGAGTTGTACTCAGCAAAAAAATCAATACGAATGTGGTCTAAGTGTTCTGGTGAATACCAAGTTCATTTACGAGGGTTTTTGCACAAACCTGACTTTAGGGAAAGAGTTTTCATTTGTTGACTGGTATAAAGGCTTCAACGAGGTATCTTGTAATATTTTAGCTAATGACAATCCCTCGTCATCTGAGTCCCAAGCAAGTGTATCTAAAGTACTCCCTCTTGTAGAACCAACCATTGGAAATAGTGTTAACGGTGTTAATGAGACTATCTCAGACAGTGTCAATTGTATTGAGACATCAATGAATGTCCCTGAAAAATGGAAAAAGGTAAAAAGAAAGAACAGGAAACAAAGTAAATTCAATGTTAAAATGTCTTCTCACAAGCAAACCGTTGTCAACTGTACTAATCGGTTTAAAGTTCTTGATAGGGAAAATAATAATGTAAATGTACTAAAACCTCTCCACCCCCTCCACAAACCTATCTCAAAATCTAAGAAAAAACTACAAAAGGAGAGTAAGTCAAAAAAACAAAAAATAATAAATACATTTGTAGTAGAACCTAGTACCTCTCTCCCGAGCCCTAGACCTGAGCCTAATAATCCTTCTCACGAGACCTTACCACACCTGAAAATATATAGTGATAGTCACGGTAGGGGTCTCTCTTGGATCTTAGAGGAGAAGTTAAAAAGTAGGTTTAATGTGTCTGGTACTGTTAAAGCTAATGGTAATATGGAACAGGTACTAGCTGGTATCGATAAAGACAGACGTCTAGGTAGTGGAAATGTAATTGTTATTATAGCCGGTACCAACAATTTTGATGTGACTGGACGCTGTAACAGTTTTTTGCCGGAGCTAGATTCTTTCTTAAAAATTGTGTCAAATCCTGAGATTATTCTTGTTGGCCTACCACCTAGACATGACTCTCCTTCCATGAACCCTGTTGTGGACAGAGTAAATAATGACCTCTTATCCCTGTCAAATCATCACCAACATGTCTCCTTTGTATCACTGCAGTCTCTATCCCGCCACCAGTTCACCAAACATGGGTTACACCTCAACATGAGAGGAAAAGTAGCCCTAGCCGAACTATTAGTTGCTTCCTTAACAATTCCACCTGGAGTACGTCCCCCAATCACCTGCCCCCCTCCTGCTACCCCTACCTTAAAGTCACAGAAAATCCCTTCCGACACAATTCCTACTAATAATAGATTCAGTTCTTTCCAAGCCCATAGATCATCTACCAAACGTGTTTTTGTCAATAAACATTTTTTAGGGGAAGCACGAAAACCACCCGAAGTCCCATGGGCAACCTATCTCAGAGGAGGGTGGGGTCCTCGCACACAAGTCTTAAGTTCATACATCAAAATATAAGAGGATTATTGAGTAAAATAAATGAGTTGGAGATATTTGTAGAAGATGAGTGTCCAGATTTTATTTGTTTAACCGAGCACTTCTTAAAAGCAGAAGAAGCTGAAAACTCTACAATAAACGAATTCACATGCATAACATCGTTCTGTAGATCGGAAATGAAATGTGGTGGTGCGGGCATATGGGCCAAACCAGGTCTCAATTGCAAGCCCCTTGATTGTAGTGAGTTTTCCAAAGAGGGCACTTGTGAACTTGCCGCTGTGTCAATAACCGTAGACAATAATGAGAAAATTTTGTTATTGGCAACATACAGACCTCCTTCAAATACGCACACAGACTTCTTTAGTAGAATAACTGAATGTATCAACAAGTATTATAATCGCCACTCTGCAATCTTAGTTATGGGTGATTTAAACATCAATCTTGCTTGTGATACACTTCTCGCTCATCAGCTTACGTCATACATGGCATCATTTGATCTGCATAATATCATAAAAACCTATACTAGAGAAGTCAATGGGTCTCGTAGTCTCATAGACCACGTTTTTACAAACATAAGCAACGTCAAGGGGTCTGTAATATCTGCAGGCTTATCAGATCACAGCGCTCAAACAGCGACTCTACATATCAATACTCCCTTAGCTCCGAAAGCCTGTTTTAAGTATGAAAGATTGTTTTCAAGCTCTAATATTGACTTGTTTACATACCTAATTTCTAAAGAAAATTGGGATGGAGTTTTTAATGCAGCAGACTTGCAAACTAAGTTTGACGAATTTCTGTCCAAGGTTAAACATTCATTTGAAATTTCCTTCCCAAAAAAGCACAATAAAATCAATAAAAATACGTATAGTAAAAAGATTCAGTCGCCTGAGATAATAAAATTGAAGGAGCAGCTGTTTGCCCTATACAATAAAACAAAAAATCTTGAATCTTCTCACTACCTGGTTCACTATTACAAAAATTTAAAAAATCAGTATAGACGCCTAATAAGAAAAACTAAGTCAGAAGACACTCTACGCAGAATAAACAAATCAGACAATAAAGCTAAGATTCTATGGAATATAATAAACAATAAACGACCATCAGCCAAAAAAAGTTACACCGAAATATCTCTTAAAACTGATAATGGTGAAGACATCACAGACCCTAAAGACATTTCCAATGAGTTTAACCATTTCTTTTCAGATACAGGCAAAGACTCAAAGGCAGCTTCATCCAAAAATACAGATATAAATAAGAAATATTTTAATTCAATCTTTCTACATCCAACTACCGAAAAAGAAATTTTAGATGTTATCAAAGGCTTAAAAAACAAAAAGTCTTCAGGGGCTGATGAAATATCTCCATTTTTACTAAAAAAGGTTGCATCGTATTTGGTAAAACCTCTATGCCATTTAATTAATATGTCATTCACCAGTGGATCATTTCCTAATGCGCTGAAGGTGTCAGTGGTCAGGCCTATATATAAAAAGGGAGATCCAAAGCTCTGCAACAGTTATAGGCCCATATCAGTTGTGTCTGTATTTTCAAAGATATTTGAAAAAATCATGGTGATTAGGCTATGGGACTTTTTGACAATAAATAAGATTATATCCGAAAACCAGCATGGATTTACTAAGGGTAAATCTACTACATCAGCGATGTTTCAACTGATAAATGAGGTGGTTTGTGAATTAGATGCTGCAAACTACTCGGCTGGTTTGTTTTTTGACTTGAGCAAGGCGTTCGACACAGTGGACCATAACTTATTGCTCGATAGGATGAGTAATGTGGGCGTAAGAGGATCGGCCTTAGATTGGGTCAGGTCATTCATTTGTGGCAGAAGGCAATACGTAGAAATAAGAGCAGTTGATGAGGCTGGGTGCGTTAGAGCCTACCCTTCTGCTGAGAATTCTGTTGCTAGGGGGGTACCTCAGGGCTCCGTCCTGGGACCAGTCCTTTTCCTTCTTTTTATTAACAACCTCTCTTCCTGCATAACCTCCTCAAAGTTATCCCTGTTCGCCGACGACACCTCTCTCTCAGTTTCTAGCTCCAATTTTCTAAATCTGGAACAAATTAGTTTTTTGGATGCAAACGCTATAATTCAATGGTTTGGCGACAGTTTATTGAAAATCAACACAGACAAAACACAGCTCATTAACTTCCGTTTATCAAATCATTCAAACCGATCAAACAGTGGGTTTAGTCTCCTTCTGGATGAAACTGAGGTCCACCCTACACCAAATGTCAAGTTCCTTGGGTTGATCTTAGACGAGAATCTTAGATTTCATGACCATATCAATTACATTTCAAAAAAACTCAGTTCTGGTATTTTCGTTCTGCGTAACCTCAGGAACAATGAGAATCTGGAGATATTGTTGACGGCATACTATGGGCTAATTTATCCTCACTTAGCATACGCCGTTCCTATTTGGGGTTGCGAGTGCCAGCAGACTAAAATGTTGTTTAAACTCCAAAAAATGGCTGTGAGAACTGTTTTCTCTCTAAAAAGGCGTAAATCATGCCGTAAATATTTTTTTAATTCAAAAATTTTGACATTCCCATCTATTTACATTCTTGAATCTTTAACATTTGTGAAACAAGAATTTTCTAAATTTGACTTTTCTGTAAAACACCAATACACATTGCGCAATTCACACACATTACCAATTCCTAAACATTCAACAACATTTTTCAAGAAGCACTTACTGTACAATGACATAACACTTTTTAACTCACTTCCACTTCCTCTTAAACTTGAACCAAACCTGCTAAAATTTAAAAAGCAATTAAAATCTTTGTTGATCAAGTTTACCTGTTACAGCGTCCAAGAATTTGTAAATAAAATCAGCTCAATGAATAGTGATGTAGCTTAAATATGTATATAGAACTGTATAGCTTTTAGTACTGCATAAGACCTCTGTAAATTGTTGTAATGATGACTTAGCCAATACAAATTGTATAATATTTTGTTAATTCTGGCTTAATAAACGATTTGATTTGATTTGATTTGATTTCCCAATTTCTCTCTAGAGCTTCTTAAAGAGCTAAAAAAAATAAATAATTCAGTATATTAAAGTGATTTTGTACGTTTTATACGGTTGAAAACTAAAAAAAATTGTAAAACTAAAATTCCCATGTTATTCTTATATTGTAAAATGTTGTAGTTTGCTTGTTTATGGATATATTATTTGATCAAACCTGGCAAACTTATTGATTTTATATTAAGCTATAATTATTTTACATAAAAACACACTTTATTAGTTTCCTTATGGCAGCAAACCAAGGTACTCGTTAAACATAATGTTACTTAAATAGATGAATTGAAAATCATTTCAGGTAAATGGAAATTCGCTTAGACGGCAGGTTTGCTGCTACGGGGGTATTTATACATTTTTTTTAGTTTTTTTAACGAGAATGGTCACAATTAATGTAGGCTATGCAGTAGCTTTCATATGTGGTTTGTAAACCAAACCATTAACATAATCTGTATATAATTATTTTTTACTTAAAACTATTTCACTCGATAGTGTAAGATTAATACATTTGTGTTAATTTGTTTAGCTTGTTTATTTATTTTATTTGTCTACGCCATTGACATTTTCCCGTTTTTAGTGAGGGAACGGTCCTAACCCTATCTAACGTTGACCTTTGGTTAGACAGCCCATTAACAAATATCATGTGAGTATGAATGGTTTTTGGTTAAAAGTGGTAGAATTCCGGGGCCGGACATTAATTCCGGCGACTCTGGGTGGTTACATTAATTTGAAGGTCAAACCCAGGCAAAAACAATTCTTAGCCACATATTGGCATAACAATTCCCCGCTGAAGTGGGGGTTGCCAGAATTCTACCCCCATGAAAAAACGCCTACGTCATTTTGACGTCATATGTCTGGGGGTAGATTTCCGGCTATTTACCAAACAACATTTTTTTATACGGATAAATTATTATTTATTTCAATCAACTCACATTTCACGGGTTACTTAACAGTTGCAATTAATAAAAATCACAATAAACCTGACACCTGGAATTTTACCCCCAAAAATTTAGCCCCAGAAATCTACCCAATTCAATAAGCTGTAACAGCCATTTTTCACCCGAACTACTTCACCGATTTTTACGATTGAGGTGTAATTTTAAAGCTAAAGATCTAGCGCAACACAAAGTGGTAATTAAAAAGGATATTTTGATAAAGGGAGTAGGATATAATGCTTCTAAAGGGCTTCAAAAGTTTGACCCCCTAAGCATTTGATTTATTTCCAGACAGCGATTTAAATGGTTGACCAACTTTCACATACAGTAACAGCTAACGACGCATGCACGAGCGCGGATCGTGAAATTTAATACATGTAATTCAAGGAGGTTATTTTCTGATTACTAGAGGTAAATGCAATTAATTGTTGATACAAAGCGTTCTTCTGGTTGATTAATAAATTAATGAATTATTTCATCATCAATTCCCCTCTAGTAGGCTAATACGAAATACTTCCTTGGTCCTATACACTAATCGAACATGTCTTATACTTAAGTATTGGCACTGTTTCAATTTGAGAGTTGTATTTTTATGCTTATTTGCTATGGATAAAATCAATGTTTGTTTTTTTATACATTGTTTTAAATCTTTTTACGAGAAAGGTCAAAATGTAGGCTATGCAGTAGTTTCCATACGTTTTTGGTTTACATAGCTAAAGCTTAATAGTAAAATATGGCTTAGGGATTGTAGAGTGTGAATTCATATTCATATTATATTTTGTTTTGCAGATCTGTGTTGTGGTGAGTGCCGTGTTGGGCACAATTATCTACAGGCTGTCCGTAGTTACTGTTATATACGAGGGTGGAAATGTGTTTGTGAAAAGGCACGCCAAGATCTTCACTTCTATGACTGCTGCTCTCATCAACTTGGTCATCATCATGATTCTTACAAAGGTAAACAGCATTAACTTAAGGGTACAATTAGTAGGTATAAGAAAAGTAAAGATACACACCCCTGTAATATGGATTAAATGTGATCTTTTTGATTATTTTAATTATTGTTATGGTTTTCCTTAGTTAGTTGACATGTATTGCAATTCCTTACCCCCTATACCTATAAGGTGTATAATCACAGAAAATGTTAAATGTTTGAGCAAAAACGAGGGCCAGGGGAGCAAAAGAAGGTAATATTTTCAATAAACCTATTTGCGAGATATACAATATCTACTGTAAAAACATGGAAAAGCAGTCAAGGCAAAACTTCCCATTCCTAAAGCCTTGTCAGTAAATAAAGATTTTTTTATCGCAACTAAATGGTGGAAAGCTCTATTTGTTATACGTGATAGAACCACATGAGAGATGTATTTTCCCAAAAGTCCCCACTTCTACCCCTTAGCTTTCCCCCTTGACGTCCCCCCACCCCCTCCAAACTTAGAAAGCAGTGTTTCACTTAATTGATCATAAGTCGAATACTATGTATACTATCATGTTGTAATTGGTTTTGTTATCCTTCTGATTAGGTTTCCTATAACTTTTGTATTTAACATTTCTTTCTAAAACCAATATTTAGGGAGATAACAAATTTAAACTTCGTTTAAAGCTTTGTTTCAGAGTACAAAATTTCGTTTTTCTCTATATATAAGTTACTTTTAAATAGAAATAATATGTAATGGACCAAACAAAAGTTTTAATAAGCTTTTCAAGGTTTACAAATATATTATTGGTTAGTCATCTAGGTATGAACTGTGAACAGCTGGGCATCGGCAAATAGAGCGCGTGTAAACATCCGCGCACCGTCGTCCGTCGATTCGACGGATGCGTCGCACCCAGTCGTAAGCAACGGCACCACTAAGTTTTCAACTGTTTGATACAAATCCTAACCCTTGCAATTTTTATTTAATACTGTACCAAAACAATCTGTTTCCAAGCTAACCCATGAGTCACGGTCCGTAACTAAATGAACCGCCTCGCGGCCAGTAAAACTTTTTCACCAACAAACTAATCCTTGATACAAACTGCGTCCTGACGTTGCTATGCCCCCTCTTCACTCTTCCCGCTAACAAGGGTTAGCTTCCGCTTTGCCACGAGTTGTTACCCTGTGTTAAATTATATCACGAACCACGTAGGAAACTGTCGTTAATATTTATAAGGAATTTTTAATCAAACTTAAAAATTAAAACTAGCAGGTGTTTTTTTTAAGTCCACATACCGGACATTTTAAAACACTTCATAAGACGCCTTCTTCTTTTCTAGCAATGTTAAACGTTTACATAATGTCTACCACAAACCAATAAGTAACTATTATGCTGACTCATTTTTATTTTAACATGAAAACAATCAAATATTAGAGAACAGAACTTCACTGAGATTCACAGTATACAGTCTCTAAAAATGGTTGATCTCGACCACGAATTAGTACTAGCAATTAGTAAAGCAGATTCGCAATACTGAAAATAAAAAACGCAATTTGATTGACACATTTACACAATGTGTAAAGAAAGGATATTTTCATAATCTGCCTGTATCACGTAAATAGTCTTGCCTGCATGTATGGGGGCACAACTATTGAAGATGATTGTTTTTTTATTAAATCATGATAACTTTCGGATATACGCCTTATTCAGAGGATATTGGGATTCATTTCCCAAAGTCCTGAAACGTTTTTTATGGACACCCTGTATATATATAAAAATTGTTTTATGAAATGTTAACATGACTATGACCTAAGTGTTGAAACTAGTCGTTTGATAATTAAAATGAGTTGAAAGGGTACTAATGTGTTTAAAATGTTTTCAATTGTATATAGTAGTAGCCCTAATCACAATAATACTTAATATTGTATATATATATCCATGTATATTATTGCAAAATGTGTAGCCGTTGATAGAAATGATAAAATAAATTATTATTTCAACTGAGAAACGAGTTAAAACCAACAATAAATTTAAGAAATGTACAAATGTTTAGGTTTCATCTAATTGGCATTTTTTTTGCAGTTTACTGTTTAGAATTTTACTGACCGCGAGGCACAGTTACCCTAGTAGCACAAAAACATTTTTAAAAGATTTGATTTTAGATATCAAAATATTATTAAAGGATTGATAAATATTTTGAAACCCTTTTAACATTATTTTAAACATGTTTTACTGCAATATTTTGAAAAGGATTGTAAAATATTTAATATCAATTTTATAAATATTTCTAAAAACATTTAAAACTATTTTTAAAGGTTTTACTGCACCCATGTTCATTTCAGAGCTAAATATTACTCAATGTTTTGAACATGTTTTAAAATATATTTTGTAAACACTGAAAAATATTTCAAATGTATTAAACATGCCTACCCTGTTAAAATATTTAAAGGAATACCTGTACAAAAGTGGTAAACAAACTAATTATAAATAATAAAATTTCAATACAATAGTATGCGTAGAATTTGAATTATATCCAATAAAGTAAACTACTGCAATTTCCAGGTTTGGAGGGAGTGGGGGAAAGCTCAAGGAGGAGAATCGGGGACTTTTCGAAAATACACGTCTTAAGCATCGATGTATAATTATAAGCTCAAGGGGTTGAAGTGGGGACTTCTGGGATCATAAACCTCTTATATGGTTCTATCACATATAAAAATCCAGCCTTCCACCATTTAGCTGCGAAAAAAGGTGTTTTCCTACAGTCACCAGACAAAGTTGGCTTCCTTGTACTGTTTAAGTACAGAAAGCTGCTAATTGCTGCATATTTATATTTTTCCTACAGTTACCTAACAATGTACATGTTCTCTCGCTGATTTGAGAAAGAAAAGTGGCCAATTTGCTCATCAGTGAGACAATGTTAACATTGTCTCACTCTAATTACTTTGTCTCACTCCAGATTTGCAATGTGAAGGTACGAAATAGTGAGGGCGTAACATGCAGGCAAGGTTGTATGCGCGCGAAATACGTTGGCAGCACTAGCACTGGCTGTAAATCAGCTGGTCAGCTGTTGTACTGTTGTTGATCGTGTTGATCATTAAATAATGTCATATTAAAAGTTCACTTCTGTGTAAAAATATGTCACGTTTCTTTACTAATTTATTTGTTTTATTGTAACTGTAGGAAAAATATAATGTGCAACTCGAGTGCAAAGTGCAATTGCCTCACTCGAGAGAAATATTTTTCCTACAGTTACAATAAAACAAACACAGAAAATTAGTAAAGAAACATGACATATTTTTAGCCTCACTCGAGAAACCATTCCTGTGAGTAAGGATTTCTCTTGAGTGAGTCAATTGCTCACTTTGCTCACTAGTTGCACAAATAACTATTGTCGTACGGTTTATACTTTGTCGTACGGTTTATACTTTGGCGCGCATCAGGATTCCAACGAAACAACACATAACAGCGTGGTTCTATTATGCACGTAATCCGTGTACGGTACGCTTGGAAATAGGTTGGCAACACTTAAAGAAAAATAATACATAATACTACGAGCAGCTGATCAACTATTATAACTACGATTTAACGTGTAGTCATTTTGTGTTTATACTATAGTTTGTTCTCTTTTCGGTATTTCTGAACTTTCTAGACTTTTCTTTTAAACGTTTTTAAGAAAATAAGTTCCCACATTACTTTGAAGATGAGTTTTATGTTGTAAATTAAAACCGACTTTCATAATTTCAGGTTTATCATCATTTAGCTTTATGGCTTACAAATAAAGAGAACCCTCGCACTCAGACTGAGTATGAAGACAGCTACACTTTCAAGATTTTCCTTTTTGAGTTTATGAATTTCTACTCTTCTCTCATCTATATTGCATTTTTTAAGGTAAGGTTTGTAAGGTCTTAGAGGGGTTCGACTCTTCTGAGTAAACTGAGTCATATTTTCATGATGGAAAATTGGCCATTTTTTTAGGATAGTAACATTTTTTTACTGAAATTTTTATTTTCAATGATATATTATTTATTAGGATTGTACTGGTTATCATATTCATGTTAAATAAATAGACAAATATATTCATTGAATTCAATAAATCATTTAGTTATCTGATAGTTGATAGTTAATCAGCCCTTTCAGTCCCATATGGTCAAGTGGACGTGGTGAATGTATGTTGATACTGATAATGACAATGACCAATAATGGCGTTCTATTAGGGAGTGGTGGATCAAAATGTTTCACAACATCCTTTTATCTACATATTGTGGCCATCTTGTATATCTTGAATAGGGCCTAATAAGTGTAGGCAAAAACACTACGGAGATGCTTCAATTTACAATATCTGATACTTTCCAATACATTCCATGCTACATATACATCCCAATTTTTTTCAACCACATCATTATCAGGAAGTCTACTATCAGTTCTCTTATATAAAATCAGTGATCTTCAGAGAAAATTTTCTGTAAAGAATTATCTTCAGCATGCTATCTTATAAAAGAGAGGGAGCTCCCTGAACTTCAGGAAACATTAGTTGATCGCTAAGTAAATTATGAGTTTATACGTTGACTGTACAGTTAATTTTTTACCGGTAAAGCTTATTTCATGGAAAAATTAACTTTGTATCTTTTTTCCATAGTTGCTTCAATTATTTTTGAAAAACGAATCAAATCACTATTTTCATTTTTTTTATCTTTAGTCCTGATAAATAATCCCAAACTTAAAATGTCTTGAAATTAAAGTCATTTGACTTTCAATAGTTTCAATATACCTCAGATATACCCGCTTACATACCAGCCTTAGATACCAATTTTGTGATCTTTGAATGTCCTCCTTTTACATCCCATGACTCTATGGGCTCTATCCTGGAACCGTTTTAGACTTTACTGCAGGCTAGCACAAGAGGGTTGCGGCGTTATCACATCGCTAAATCCATTGGTGATTGGCAGGATTTGAGTTCGGAACTTGGTCCTTGAGGATCGTAGACGTGCGCTCTGCCACGAGACCAGCATGCTCCATTTTCAGTAACCTGTAGTTTAAGCTAAACTATGGGGCTATACGTAAATTAAGGTCTCCATTGCTCCCGGCTCCCGGCGCAGCCATTAAGCAAGTCAGTTCAAATCTGAGACCAACTTTATCCACTACTATTCTAGCCCATTCCAATCTCTATGAGACGATTAGTCTCAACTGCTAAAGAAAGTTGATGTCATATTTGAAATACCTTGCCCTCATTCTGACAGGGAAGGTTCTACAGTCATCCGGGGGACAGAGACGCTAGGAGTTCACAGTTTCTACGGCTGAAGGGAGACATATGTGATCCAGCAGGCTGCCTCAGTGAACTTTGTATCCAGTTGGCCATCATCATGGTCGGCAAACAGTGCTTCAACAACTTCCTGGAACTTGCTTACCCGTTAGTAACAAGATAAACATAATAAAACTACAGTGACTAGCAAAAGTAAGGCATAACTTTGCAATTTGATTCAACAAGTACCTAACTAAAATTCACACAGGTAAACTAAAATTTGATGGACTTATTTAAATTTAAAAATCTTCATACGAGTTCAGAAAAATAATTAAGTCATAATTAATTAACATTTGAAAATTGCAGCCATGTTTACCTTGAACAATTATAAATTGATAAATCGATGATACTCACACAATTATTAGTTGCCTAGCTATCTTTGAAGAAAAATTATTATTACTTTGAAATTACGTAGAACCCCACATATACGACCATCACGAGACTGGGCTATGGTCCTGCTGACCCCTTGTAAAAGGTACACTAGGCGACAGGGAAACCAGGTTTTTATGTATGAAAAATCAGGGAAAATGTGTAATTTTTCCCAAGGAGCTCTGTGGCCAGTAGCCCTGTAAGAGACTAAGTCGGATATCCCAGGGGGTGGGTTATGCCAAAGGGATATCAGGGGTTCTACTCTAATTATGTGGCTACCTTTTTAGGACTAAGATGTAGTGATTTATGTATGATTAACCTGTTAAATCAGTTATGAAAATGTGAATTTTATAATAAGAACAACAAACTAGCAGGAGATGGAATTCATATTACTACCTACTCTAGTGATGTGTCAATACGAAAATTTATCGATTCTCGATATCGATACTGTATAATTTTAATTTTGTTCATTTTAGTGCTGTATTAGCGTTAGTTGCCACTTAGGACAAAGCTAATTAAGAGCTTTAGAATATGAAGTGACACTAGAGGAGTATGATAAGTAACATTATTTAATTGATACAAGAATAGGCAATAGTATTACAATCGTAAGACAAGATAGCCCTTTTTATACTATTAAATTACAATATGTGATGCTGATTTACATTAATAGTCTACATGAGGAATTAAAGAGAGAGAGATAATGTCAAAACTCACTTAGTACAGCCAGCATACCGATCGGTGGCGATACGGACTCGGAATGATAACACCGGAGGGAAGGGCCCTTTTTATATAATCCGCAGTAGCGTCAGTGGCCATCCCGTGATATGGGGCTCTATGAATAGATAGATTGGGAAGCCCGATGATTTGATGCAAAGTTAAAATGCTTCGATAGAATAAATATAGTAAGGTTGTTTCACCCTAATTCAGGATGGGGGAGAGCCCCAGTGAATGGCTTCGGGACTAGAATTACATAGGGGGATTTCTAGTGTTGTTACTAAAATAACGGTTTCTGGGATTTTAGTGACAACAATCGCCCCTCATTAATGAATTTGAATATGCAGTCTCTCTCTCTCGTGACATAGGATACATTTCAGTTTACAGGTAGTATTGCTTATGGTAATGGATACAATTTCTGCAATCCTTGACACAGAGAAAAATACATAGAATACAGAGGAGTTTCGCAATGAATATTACCTAATGAATTGGACAATGTTACTTTTCAAAATACATGATTTGGTAATTAATAGAGTACACACACATCAGTTACTAAATATAGTTAGCCTACTACGGGCATTTAAGCAGTTAGTTGCAAAACGAGGGTACCGACAACGGCCGGAATTTGTGGTCACCGGAGGAGGTTACACAGTACAGACCGTTTCACCGTGCTTGGCATGTAGGGGAGGCAGTGCGAGAGAGACAGAAAAATACAAAAACGTAAACATAAAGCAAACTAATTTGACAGCTGATGCTAGTTCACAACTTCAGTATTTGAATGTGACTGTACCGTACATCAAGGCGTAGTGGGGGAAAGCTCTCAGTGCGCATGCTCCAGCGAGGCGCCACACACCGTGACACTATCTGTACTAACTTATAATTTAGGGGTGACGCCCAATTCAAGGTTGACGGTTGTATTATGTCTATATCTAACATGTCACTAATGTGTAATTCCTGAACAACTCCCTTTAATGACTCAGGCAACCTGTAGGGTGCAGAACTACCGAAGTGCATCCCCCTTGGGAATTTTATTACAACGATCAGGGTTGTACACCCTAGTGGTGCGGCAGCATTGTAAAACAGTGATCTAAATTTCCACAGTACCAGAAATATATTATCCCTATCACCCTTCTGAAGGTGTGCTAATTTAAAAACCACTAATTGTTCAAAATCAGTCAATTTCGGAATTCCTCCTCCATAAAACATTTCCCCATACACGTTCTTCCTCCTACAACTCAGTGTGTATTCACCTCTCTACTAGATCGACTATATCACTTCCTTCACCACACAAACATAGATGGCCAACACACCTCTTTGTTAGACCGCTTTCAGTCCCTGACCTACTATTCCACCTATCCCAGGCTGTACTACTCATGGGTCCAGCACCAAAAACTTTCGCCATCCTCTGGCTAAAACACACCTCTTCCAGGCTGCATCACTCACAGGTTCACAAACCAGGCCACTACTCCACACCCGAGTGCATGGTTCCCTATCCAAACTCTGGATCTCACAACTTTTACTCATTGGGTTGGGACAGAAGGGCTTGGGGCCAGCGGGGCCAGCACACTCACTGCCGACCTTAACAACGGTACTGAGCAGGACCCCTGCCCGGGGTTTCACAGTTTTCAAATAATATAAGCTAAATACTGTAGTTTTAAACTTTGAAAAGTTATTGTAAATTTCTCATAATTATATAAAATATTATCTATCATTAATGACTGTCATACAAGCAGTATACAACAGCCTATACAGGGTTATTTTTAAAAACTTGCATCTTTATTTATGTAAAAACTGCAATAGATAGAAATATGCAGTTTGCGGGAATCACCTATTGACGTAGGGGGCCCAATTGTTTTGAATTCAATGTTACATTCACATTCCCCCCCTTTCCCCCCCTGCCCTCAACTTAATTTTTTTTAATAGCAAGGTACCCCTTGTGACAAATCAAATGAAAGAGCATGAAAAAAGAAAATGTTTGATGAAAAAAAATTGAAAATCGGTTCATAAATTTGCGAGATATTTCCCCCCCCCCTCACCGGAACTTAGTTTTTTTTTAATAGCAAGGTACCCCTTGTGACATATCAAACGAAAGAGCATGACAAAAGAAAATGTTTGGTGAAATTTATTTTTCATTTGATATGTCACAAGGGCGGGTACCTTGCTATTACAAAACAAGTTATGGGTAGGGGAAAAGGGGGGGGATTATCTCACAAATTCATGAGCCGATTTTAATTTTTTTTCACCAAACATTTTCTTTTTTCATGCTCTTTCATTTGATATGTCACAAGGGGTACCTTGCTATTAAAAAAAAATTAAGTTCCGGGGGGGGGGAGGGGGGGAATATCTCACACATTTATGAACCGATTTTCAATTTTTTTTCATCAAACATTTTCTTTTTTTATGCTCTTTTATTTGATATGTCACAAGGGCTACCTTGCTATTTAAAAAAATTAAGTTGGGGGCAGGGGGAAAGGGGGGGAATGTGAATGTAACGTTGAATTCAAAAACATTGATCCCCCTACGTCAATAGATGATTACCGCCAACTGCATATTTCTATCTATTGCGGTTTTTACATAAATAAAAATGCAAGTTTTTAAAAAAACACCCTGTATATTATTTGATACTACGATATTTGAAAGATAATTTTATAAAGCTGTTCTGGTCCTCACAACAGCTCTTAGTATAACGATTGTAATTTTTCAGTGCAATTTTGAACTGGTGGAGGTACAGGAAACAACGGAGTGACACGAAGGATACAACGAGACCCTACACTCGGTGGGAGGAGGATTACCAGCTTCAGGATCCAGGGCGGTTGGCATTGTTTGAGGAATATCTGGAAATGGGTAAGATAGCGTTCTGTCATCTACACTCTACAGTTACTTAGTCTAGAGACATAGGTAGATGGCGGTGGAAGAACCTGAAACTGTGGCCACAATGGTTAGAAAATAGAAAGGGAGGAAAAATCCAAGCTTCAATTGAATCTGGACTCCCTATCCTCTGACCACTACTGGACTCCTTTGTCAAACTAAAAAAGTTATACCATCAGTGGAAGTTAACCAAATCTGATGGATACATTTCAAAATCACATGTGTGGAATATCAGTAAACTATAGAGTTAGTAAGAGCAAATAAAAGAGTAGGCCTACATCAATCACATCTGTACATATCAATCACATTGTCGACTTGTTTGTTTACTATGGTCCAAGATGTCCTAGTGTTTTAATCATATGCAGGTGACTTTTGAAGTCCAACCAAACAGATCCAAAGTCTACTGTAATTGGTTTTGGTATTCTGGCAGCAGTTATTGGTATTGAAATGTACTATTCAATCATAACTGTTGACTAAGCAGTACTGCAAATATCTAATGTTATGATCTTAAATTTCAATATCAACCTTTGTAAGTTTACTCCCAAAACATAGCAACATTTACCATGTTACATCATTACTGGAAATGGTTACAGTGATCCAGTATGGATTTGTGACGTTATTTGTTGCTGCTTTCCCCCTGGCCCCACTGTTTGCCCTGCTGAACAACATTGGAGAGATAAGGTTGGATGCCTACAAGATGGTGACCCAAGCAAGACGGCCATTGGCAGAGAGAGTGGAGGACATTGGAGCCTGGTACGGCATCCTTCAAGGCATCACCTACTGCGCCGTCGTCTCCAATGTGAGTAGTAAACTAAACAAATGTGTAATGAATTATTAAAAAAATTGAAAGTGTTACAGAATGAGGCAGTAAAATGGTACGATTTTGAAGAATCACAAATAATTTGTTTAGAAAAAAGAATATTGTTTTAACATAAATCTTAAGTACATGAGTCAAAAATAATTTTTTATCAACCCATGTCAGTGAGGTTGTGGTTTTGCACACATTATTGAAGTCTGAAATGAAATCCACCCACGAAGTTTTTAGCATCTGCAAAACTTCTGGAGTTGTTTTGTAGTGCTTCTTGTGGTAGCAGTTAAAAGCTATACCCAAAGGGTAGCTTCCTTGACGACACAGGAGTCCATGGCAGTAAACTGACCTCACAACATAAAGCGCACTGAGCACAAACCACAATATCCAAATTTTTTTAATATACCTTGACACCAAACGCATGTTGTTCACTCGTCCAAAGCTCCATGGATACTGAAATTTCCCCTTATCTAGACGCTCAAAGTAATTTATTGAGTCTCGGTATTATTATGTGGTAAAACATTACAGTGTTTAAAAAATTAGAACTAAAGTAGTTCCCTCTCAATTACGGATTAAAACTGAACACAAGGTTAATCATTTTTCAGGCATTTGTCATCGCTTATACCAGTGATTACATTCCTCGGATGGTCTATGTATTTGTGTATTCGAAAACTCAAACTCTAGAAGGATATATCGACTCATCACTGTCTGGTAAGTTGTACAATAATTATCCAGAATATTAACTTGCAGTGGTTCAGTAAGTTAGTATTTGATTACTTGTTCTTGTTCATTGTCTAAGATCTCATTCACACAAAAAATTGAGGAAAGACTGGCAAAAAACCTGTCTCTACTATGAAATCTTCGAGCAAGATATTCCTGAACTAGGGTTTTTAGGGTAGTTCTTATTCCGAAGACATAGAGAGGTATAAGATGGGGTTGTAAATATGAAACGAATATTTACCGTATGTTTAGTTATATATTTATATGTGTTTTATAGTATTCAATACTTCGGACTTTGATGAGGACATGGGCATTGATAAGAACAACTACGATGATGATGAGCCTGAGATATGTCAATACCGAGGTTATCGCAACGGTCCAGAGCATGAGGATAAGTACGGCCTCTCTCCACAATATTGGCACGTGTTTGCTGCTAGGCTTGCATTTGTTGTGGTCTTTGAGGTTAGTCGACTCCTAAAACAGTCTCTAATTTAAGTTTCTTAGTTCTTCATTTAAATAAAAAAAAACAACAAAAATTTTAATAACTGTCTGAAAGAATGTGTAACACGTCTATGCGTATCGATACAGTAGACAATCTTAACCAAGTAAGTATCTTCATTGATACTTGAGTACAGTATACTTTACAAGAACACACTGCAGGACCAAGCATCAATATAAAACTGTGTTTTTCATTTGTGTCAATTTCTATTTGAAATGTTTACAAAGTTACCCATCAACCGACCTAGGATAAGGGAGGTGCAGTAGTAACAGTGAGTAACACCTTCCTAGGTGAAATTTAATTGCAATTCTTTCTTACGATACTTTACCTAAAATGGTTGTGTTATTAGATCCAAGATATAATAATGTAATTCTGTAGATTAATACAACTTTTAGAACATTTAATGTTATTTGCAGCACATTGTCTTTGCTCTAACTGGGATAATGGCTTACGTGATCCCAGACGTACCCAGAGAAGTGAAGACTCAAATTCAGAGAGAAAGGCTTCTCAAGAAGGAAGAAAAGTATGAAAAAGGAACTACACGAACTGACGAGTATGATGAACTACTAAGTGCGATCCGTAACACTCAAAACTCCAGTAGACTTAGTGAGGTGATCAGGAGAACTTCGTGGGACAGACGATTCACCAAACCAGAACATGACCTTAGGAACGTCATACGAAGATGATATTCTCAGTCACACTTAGTCTTTTCAAAGCGGACCTAAAAGTGTTTGCCAACAACATGTGAATCATTCAACTAAATGTGGTTGTGCATTTGGATGTATTGAATGTAGGTTTGAGACATTTGGTAAATATAATGTCAATTATCAAAAAGTGATAACACAATCAAAATGTTAATGTTCAAAGAAAGACACACATATCTTTAGGGACCACTTTTGTTAAATGTTATAAACAAATTAGAAAAGTAAATTACATTAGAATTTAGAAGAGTCTTGCATAGTTTCCATAAGATATGTTTTAAAGTGTTGAATTTTTAGAAACACAGTTTGCAATCATTTACCTGTGTTCTGTTACCACTGTATCCAAGGACAGAAGCACAAAATAACCCTTACTTAAATGTCAGTAGAATAGGAAGCGGTTTCATAATCTTTATGGATTAAGTAACTTCTACCCTCAGCTAAAGGTTATGTCTGATTGATGATTACATAAGAAGACCGTAAATACTGAAACCGATAATACTCAGGTATTAACACTTAAGTAACTCAGTTTAGGTATTCACTCATGTAACTTAACACTCAAAGTATGCATACCTTAGTTGTATATTATGTTGTATTACACAAAAGGCCGGGAAGTAGGCGTTCACGGTACGAGCATGAAAGTTCCCATGGGATGCTTGCTCTGCACAGGATTTTATGTGAGTACCATTTACTGTACACACCTTCCCGGGTGTGCCACACGTATTATACTTTTTACCACACTACCAGCAACACGTTTGCACATGAAATCTTTGCTAATTCAAAAATGTAGACTAACATAAATAACCTTGCTAATATTTCTCTTTTGCCACTTAAAAAACAAGTAATACTCTAAATCAAATCATGCCTCTTTTTTACTCTTTACCGAATTTTCCATATAGGGAATAAGCTATTACCGTAGGTCTCATGGTAAGACTTGGACCGATTTACTTTTTCATTTTGATGTCCCTAGAAACCAAATACACCATCCGTCGATTTCGATGAAATATGGTACAAACGTGTAAACCTACGTTTATACAAACAAGTTTGCGAACCAGCATGATCGGACCATAGGAATAGGGTTTTATACGGGGATTTATGGGATGAAAATTGGTTTTTCTAATTTTTGACCCTAAAAACATAAAATTTCCCAAATTTTCTCTTGACCATTTTGAAGAGCTTAAAAAAACAAATAATTTAGTACATTGAAGTGTTTTTGTATGGTTATTGGTTATGGAGAAATTTTTTAATAAAAAATTCCTATGTTATTCTTATGGAGAATAAGTAAACTGTTGTAGTTTGCTTGTTTATGAATATTTGGATCAAAGTTGGCAAATCTATTTATTTTATAACTAAGCTATTATTATTTTATTAAAAAACACTTTATTACCCTCCCTGTAGGCAGCAAACCTAGGTACTTGTTAAACCTAATGTTTTTTCCCCTCGGTGGGGTTGGGGTATTCACCTACCCCAAGCTACTCCGGCCTTATAGCCTATTGTAGCACCCCTAAGATCATTCTGACAGCCCTAGGCTTCTGATGTAGCCCAGGAGCTGAAAGACACCCAGTTTCCTCATCTCTGTAGGTTCCAAGTGCAGCCTTCCCACTCTTCCCAGAGACGTGAACTTTCTTTGGGCCAACGCTGGACAATCCAGCCATAAGTGTTCAGAGGTTTGGGGTGCCACAGTAGGGTTCTGGTCCTGTCAATTGTTCTTCCGCACCCTTCCTGACCAAAGCATCGGCTTTCTCATTCCCCTCATGCCCCCAGTGTCCAGGGACCCAAGCTAGTTTCACTTGGTTCCGCTTAGCTAGCTTTTTGAGGGTGTTTTTAAACCCCTTTACTGTTTGTGACTCTGTCACACAAGACACCATCGCTTTTAATTAGTGATGTGCGATACGTATCGTATCGTATCGGAATATCGCGATACGCGAGGGACGATACGATATTTCGATACGATATTTGAAAAACGATACGTATCGTATCGCCTAAAACGATATTTGTATTTATATCGGCACATAGAGCGATACGATTCATGTCAAAACGATATTTTTAAGCTTTTTTTGCGCAGGCCGAGCAAACTGCAAAATCTGTACTCTGTGGATGTGTAGTTTGAAATAGGAGTTTTTGACGTCTGTATTTTTGGTTTTTACTTAATAAAATGATAAAATGTACCAGTCCCATCCCAGTCCAGTCTATTTCCACTAGCGTCCTATCTAGCACTAGCAGTGCAGACTGCAGAGTGTGGGAACTGTCTGTGGCAATTACATTAATGTATCTGCAATCCTAAAATGCTATGGGAAGGATAGGGAAACAGGTCCAAGACGTAGGGAGTTGTGAAGGAAGTAGTAAAGGCGAGCAGTGTGGAGTGTGGGAATGGATTAATGTATCTGCAATACTTAAGACTGTTTGGCACTTTCTTGTTAAAGGGAACATTGCACATTCATTATTATCGATGATTTTTTTTCTCGATGTATCGATATTACGAATTTAAACATATCAGCTGACAACTACGATAAATATTTTTCAGTATCAACAAACAATAATGAAATGAAACTGTTCTAAAAAAAATAACCTAACATAACTAACCAAACTTGCTGTGTAACATTCCATGTTTAAATTGGCTTTTTCTGTTATCAAAAGGATTTTTAAATAGTAGGCTACTAGGCTTCAGCAAGTTTTGTTGGTTATGTTAGGTTAGCTGAGAACAGTTTCATTTCTTAATCCAAATAATAGACTACCTATTTTAGCCTAAACAAGATCATTTGTAAATATGTAATGGATCGGTAAACAAAAATATCGATACCGGTATATCGAAAAAAAATCATCGATAATAATGAATGTTCCCTTTAACAGGAAAGTACCGACTGTTTTCAGAGTAAACTAATGCTTTTCCCCGAGCAAAGCTCGATCCCCAGGTACTTATATAAATTAGCCGTTTCTAGGTTAGGTAGGGGAGGGGGAAAACGATACGATACGTATCGTTTTTCGATATTTTTGACGATACGATTCGCGTATCGCGATACAGACGCCCGATTCGATATTTTTTTCCGATACGTATCGTATCGCTGTATCGCGATACGCGTCCGTATCGTCCATCACTACTTTTAATGCAGCTTGGCTGTCTGAGAGGATCACTATTTTCCCCTTTCTCAGGTTCTTGCCTAGGATGGCATTTGCACAGCACTCAATCGCTAGGACCTCTGATTGAAATACTACTGTTACTGTGCTTCCCAGTGCTAAGGAAATGTTGGTTTTGTTGCCATACATCCCCAACCCCGATCTCTCATCCTTTTGACTTCCATCTGTGTAGTATACCAATCATGTTCTGTCCCTCTTAAGGTTGCACTGTTGCCAGTCATATCTTCCTCCTATCGTCACTTGGTAAGGAATCTTGAAGTTGAATTACTTTGTCATGAGGTCTGGCATATTTAGTTCCATGTTCACACTTGGGAAGTCCCTTAGAATGGACAGGTGACCAGCCTCTGATATTTCAACTCACCTCTGCTTCCCATTTTGAGCACAGCAGTGGCTGCACGTTTCTTGACTTCCAGCCCTAGTGGAAGCATGTTGAATATTGCCTCCATTGCAGCTGTGGGGCAGGATTTCATCCATTTCACCACTCTTTACACAGCCTTTGCAGCTGCTGCAGTTTCCTGCCAGCTAATAACATCAAACCTAATGTTATTTGAATATATTTAATTGAAAATCAAATCAGGCAAATGGAAATTCGCTTAATCTGCAGGTTCGCTGCTATGAGGGAATTTTTATTTAATTTTTTTCAACTTAACTACTAGGAGGAGGTAGCATAGTTGGGGTAGCTATGTTTAAAGATTATTGCATAACTGATCAGTAAATTTACTGTACTCCAGATGACTTAACGATCCCTGTCTGGTCTAAAAAGAGTACTAAACTCATCAGCTTATTGTGGAGTGTTGAAAAACACAAGTTTTTAGACAATAGTTATTTGTGTAACTAGTGTGCGAAGTAGCACTTTGCTGCACACGAGAGAAATTCTTACGCACAAGCCGCAGACGAGTGAGGAAAGTTTCTAGAGTTCAGCAAAGGCACTTTGCACTAGTGTTACATATTATATTTTTTCTACAGTTACTATAAAGCATAGAAATAATTAGTCTTTCAAACAGTAAACAACACGGTTTAGGTTAGGTTAAATCCAAGCGTTGAAAACGAAATGGGAGCACCAGCTGATCGTAGTCGTAGTATCTTGAAGTGTTGTCAACCTATTTCGAAACGTATACGGGATTACGTGTACAATAAAAGCACACTGTTTTGTGTTGTTTGGTTGGAATACTGGTGCGGCAATAAAAAAGTGTGCGGCAAAAGTAGGTAAATGCAGCAATTAGCAGCTTTCTGTACTATAATCAGTGCAAGGAAGCCCACTTTGTCGGGCGACTGTAGGAAAAATAGTTTTAAACTGTCTATAGATGAATTGTCTTAATTTTCAAATAAAAACATATTTCACTATGACCCCTTTTTAACACCATCAGCTAATTATATCGGTCGTGAAAAATGTAATGCCACAGGCAAAGAACAACAACCAAAATAATAAAACTGACATTTAGTGACATTGTATTGAAAACTTTCTTGGATTTAAAAAAATTAGGTATTATGAATGGAAAGGATTGATTTATGTCAATATTTACCTCAAGGCGGCTTTTACTTGTTAAATGACAGTGTTTTTCATGTTCTATTTAACTGAAGTTAGAAAGCTCATTAGCAAGTTACAAAACTAGGATAACCTAATGTTCATATATTTGCTCCTTCTCATAACAATCAATCCCACAATCAAATCACAACTTTTACCAGGTTAATAAAATGTACATAACTCAGTTTGCTTTGTATTTTTTTTTTTCTAACTTTTATATATGAACAATGATAAAAACTCAATTATTGAATTTTTACACTAATTTTTACAAGAATGATCCACAATTTCTTAAATTAATAGAAATAACAATAAATATTATGATCCAGTACAAAAATTACCAACATGAATAAAAACAAACAAGGGCACTTTGGTATTTGCTGTCATTCACTTATATACAATATATATATTGTGTATGTACGAAAGCAGACCGCAGTAGGTTTGAGCGGCGGCTTGTGTCGCAAGATGTCATGTTGCGCAAATCTCCATCACAAGAGTTTAGCTCTTGGAGCCCTCACCATCAAAGC